CAGAAGCGTCAGGTGAGGTGTTGAGTTACGTAGTGCTTTTCTCATCTTCTAAACCCAGTTACTTATCTTTTGTTTCGGTGTACCTACTCTCCCCCTACCAGCAGGTTGACCTCACTGCAGTGCACTCCCAGGTGAGGCGGACCATCATTTACATGGAGCAGCGGTACCTGCACTGTGGCCAGCAGTTTGGCGGTGGGACCAGCGAGCTGCTGTCTGCATTCCTCGCGCGGCACGCCTCCCCGGACTGTCATGAAGTGACTGTGGAGGGGGTGGACAAGGATGGTGAGGCCCGGGTACACAAGTTCGACCTGCACGAGGAGGCCGTGAAGGGATACACCACCAGCAGCGGGGACATGCAAGGCTGCTACACCTGCTGCCGCTCCTTCGCCCGCGAGCTGGTGTACAACCTCGAGCTGCGCTTGGGAGACCTGACGCGCTTGAACGGGGCGAAGCTCTTCATGCCCCGCTCGTGGCCGAGGGGCGCCGAGGCTAGAGACGCCGAGTGCAAGGAGCACCTGCACGGCCTCGTCCATCTGTTCCAGGCCAAGAACCGGGACACGATCTTGCCAGGTGAGCTAGAGACGGAACCCCTATGCTCTGCGTGTATGCGTAGCCGTTTCCGTGGTTGCGTTATTGCCATGTTGAGAGCTTGACTTTCTACCCGGTTGTGCTCTCCTGTTTGGCAGGTGTCCAGAAGCGTGCAGCTCGAGCGGAGCTGCGCACGTTCCTGCCGGTGCTCTCCACTGCGCCCAAGGAAGAGCAGCCCTTTCACGCAGGCTTGAAGGCCATTTTGCAGACCAGCGACTGGCAAACCAGCTACCCCAACCTAGTCCGTTTGTGGGCTGCCGTCGCTGTACTGCCGCTCGGCATAGTCGAGTGCGAGCGCGGGTTTTCCCGCCAGAATGTGATAAAGTCGTGGCGCCGGACGAGTCTCTGCAACGCCAAGCTGGGAGATTTGATGGCGATGTCGCTGCTCGACTACGACATGGACTGGGACAAGGTGGTGGACATCTGGCGGAGTACCAGGAACAGGTGCCCCAGCAAGCGCAAGGAGCAAGCTGCGCCAGAGAAGGAGCGGGCCAAGGCCAAGTTTGTTAAGGGGAGTGGCCGCCGGCTGGTGCAGGTGGAGGAGGAGCTAGATGAGGGCATGAGTGGTTCTGCAGGCGATGACAGTGAGAGCAGGGCCTCAGATTCACTTTTAGGGTCGTCGACCCATCAGGGTACCCCTATGTAGAAACCCTGATTGACAGTGTTCCTAACAAAAAAAGCCTGAAATATCAGTGTTGCCTTTGAAAAAAGGCTGATGCATCAGTGTTCAATAATATAAAAGGTTGTTATTACTAGAAATCTCTATTTTAATTAATAGGTCAGTAGCGGCCTTCCGAAACATTGCTAAGCTAACATGCCTCATGAATCATCACCAGCCGTGCTATCATCACTGCCCTTAGCCTTTGGTTTTTCTCTCTCATCCTCAGCTTGGGACACCAGTACGTGACAGTGCTCTGCTGCAGCACACACCCCGTCTTCACTTCTGCTTGCGACACATACACGTTGAAGCTGCAGGGGCAGGGTTTGGGGGAGGAACCTGATTGACAGGCAGGGTGAGGCAGGGAAAGAGAGAATCGGAGGGAGAGAGGAGGGAAGACTGGCATGGTTGGGGGGGGAACGACCGGGGGAGACAGGGAGTGGACGGAGTGCGGGGTAAAGGGAGCGGGGGAATGGACGGTGGGCGCGCGGGTCATGCGCGGGTCATGCCGTCGCGCAGCACGACGCTATGCGCGCCGCCCGCGACGCAGATGGCCTTTCAACCGCGGTTCGTGCTGGCGACGAGGCAGCCTTCGGTCGTCGCCATTAGCACGAAAAACCACGTGTCGTCGAGTCGTAGCGGGCCTGCGACGCCGACGGGCATCTCGCAGGCCCGCTACGATTCGACGACGCATGCGCTGCGGATCGCGTCGAACGGGAGCGATGTGTTCGGCGAGACTAGAGGAGGTTCGGCGGCGCTCGCGATGGGTTCGATTCCAGACAACCCGCCGTTTCTGGTGCTGGTGGCGCCATGTAATAGTGCAGACGAGAAAGCACGAGAGGAATCTGGCTGAGAGGGAGGGAGAGAGAAACAGGAGGAAAAGAAACAAGAGAGATTAGATTGGAGGGAACGGGACCATCAGAGCTCGCCAGCACAGTCAACGGTGCAGGAACCCTCGCAGCCCTCCAGCACCACATGGTTGCCACATTCTGATTAGCCAACGCTTATGCTGCAGCGAAACTGCCCAATGGAGTGCTGGCACCGCAGGAATCTGAGATTCCCGGTAATTGCGGGCAAATTCACACGGAACAAGTCAGAATTGCATTCAGTGGTAGTTTCATTACAACGTTGTGGAATCAGTGTACTTGGGAAAAAAAGTCTGAAATTTCAGTGTGGCCTAACAAAAAAGGCTAAAAGATCAGTCCCACAAAAATCCCAACACTGATTTTTCAGTGTAGGTAAAAAAACGACTGCCAAAATCAGGAATTTCAGGGTTTTTTTCCTGATATCTGAGGCCCTGAGTGAGAGTGATGATGATGGCAGCAGTAGCAGTAGCGTTTCTTCTTCAGATGATGACATGAGCTAGTTCTCTAGTAGTACTAGTTAGGTAGGTTAGGTTAGGTATATTTATTTTGGACTTTTTTACACTGAAGGATCAGTACAGTGGAAAATTTTACCCTGACAGGATCAGTATATTGAAAACCACCAACGCTGATTTGGACACCTGGTTGGCAGGGGCACGCTGATCCATCAGCATACCCTCAAACCAATCTGGGGACCTATTTTTTTTTAATGATCATGGGCCCACCCGTCGTGCCGCCCGTAATGCGCCCCGCGGGTCCCCCGAATCGCCCCGTGGACGAACCCCGCGGGTCCCGTTTTTCGCTTTCTGCAGGCCCTTCGTTTCGCGTCGCGCCCGTGCGCCCTTTTCGTCCGTCACGCTCCCCCCGTCGCCCCGTGATCCGCCTTCGCCAGCGCGGACGCCAGCGCCACGGCCAGCCGCGAGCGCCAACGCTGCAGCCAGCCGCGAGCGCCAGCGCCTGCGCGGACCGCCAGCGCCACCGCCAGCAGCTGCGACGGCCGCCAGCGCTAGCGCCAACGCGACCGCCAGCGCCGGCAGTGGGTGATTCCGCCCTTCCCTTCCGTCGTGGGGGGGGGGTTGGGGGGAGGGGGCGGGTGTGAGGAGCCTGCCGCTCCTCCCTCCCTTCCCTCTTCCTCTCTCCCTGCAGCAATTGTTGCTGAGGGGAGGGGGGGGGGAGAGAGGGTAAGGGGGGATAAAGGAGGGTATGAGAGAGAGTGGCAGAAGCAGCAGCCCTGCATTTGCAACTGCCACCCCCTGCTCCTGTGGCACCTCCAGCTGCAGCCCCTGTTGCCACTTAATTCGTCTCTTTCGTTTGCTGCTGTTGAGCGGCAGGTGCTGCCGTTGAGCCTGCTGTGCCGCCGCTTGTTGCCGCCGCACGCCGCTCTCCAGGCGACCTGCGCCACATGCACCTTTCTTTCGTTTCTGTATTGGCTAAGGGGTTTCTGTTGTTGTTTCTGCCACTGCTGCACTGGTTGTCATTGCTCTTGCGTGCTAATGCTTTCAGTACACTTCCGGGTTGTGATTTATGCTTTGCTATTCCTGCATGCAGTTAAGGGGGGATGTCAGAGTTATATTATTGTAACTGCATGTAGATATAGCAGTAGTGTAGTTATCACATTCTGTTTGGTGGATTACCCCCTTTCCTATCATATTTGTACCCTTAGCTCTATAGTGAAGTCCTCTTTCATTGCCAACTCCCTCACACTCTACCTCCTAGCATGGCTCCTAAGGCTAAACCCTAGCAACATATCTTGACAGGGAGTTATGGTAAAAGGCGACGTGAGCAAAGGAGTTTGTAAAGAAGAGTCTAGCAGTAGCCAGGCGAATATAGGTGGCCTAAGTTGGTGGGAGAGTGTCGTCTGGAAGGTATAGCTCTTGTGTGGACGCTCATTTGTAGGAGTTCATTTCATATTGCTCATTTCTTGTTTTTTTATGAAAACCGGTAGCATTGCATATAGATGGAAAACAACGCAGCCCCGAGCCTTGTGAAATACACGATTTGCCTATACCCTCCACCACCATCATCCTTCTATCGCAATTTATTACCACGCTTCCGCAAAAAAAAATATTTATAGTCACCTTCGCACTGAACAGCAACCGTGCAGAAGAACCGCAGCCACTTCACTGGTTGCTCGTATCCAAACATCCCCTCCTTTTAGGCGCCTCAGCAATACGGTAGTCTCCTCCTGTTTTGTTTGTAATAATCCTCATCTTCCTCTCCATTGCTTAGATCCAAGCACTCCAGCAGCAGCTTCTTTTCCATAGCGCCTCAATTTCAGACTCCTCATTCTCCCCACCAACAACCGAGTTGTCAAAATCGATTTTTGTTCGAGTCAACCGAGTAGGCTGTGCTTTAAGCCTACTGCACGCACGCAGCTCACTGAGACATGTCTGAATGTCAGACTCCTCATTCTCCCCCCCAACAGCCTAGTTGTCATAATCCAAGTCCTCCTCTCCGTTGCTCACATCCAAACCAAACACTGCTTCAGGGACAGACAGCTTCTTTTCTGCCCCGGTGCGCGTACAGACGGTACGTTCTTCAGCGGCGGTCTACTTGTCATAATCCAAGTCTTCCTCCTCCATTGCTCACATCCAAACACTGCTTCAGCAACAGCTTCTTTTCCACGGCGCCTCAAGGTCAGCCTCTTCAACCCCCCCACCCAACATCTACTTGTCATAATCCATGTCCTCCTCTCCATTGCTCACACCCAAACACTGCTTCCCTTCAGGCAACTCGAACTTCCCTCCTCATCTCCGTCCTCCCCTTTGCTTACTTGTCATAATCCATGTCCTCCTCTCCATTGCTCAGATCCAAACACTCCTTCAGCGGCAGTTTCCTTTCCAAGGCGCGTCGAGATCGGACTCCTCTTCCTCACCCCCCCCACCCATGATCTAGTTGTCATAATCCAAGTCCTCCTCCCCATTGCTCAGATCCAAACACTCCTTCAGCGACAGCTTCTTTTTCGCCCCGGTCAGCTTGCCGCCCGGAATGATCACCTTGTCGATGCCGTGGACGGCAGAGATCGTCAGCAGCACCGAATCCGGCTTCGTTATAGTCACATTCTTGCCGCCCTCTGCATGTAGTTTGACCGGCTTGACTTTTGCTTCTGTGGCTTTGAAGAGACCTGCTTCTCCGTTCTTGGAGGGAGTTCGCCACTGGAAGGGAGAGGGAAGGGAAGGATAAAAGGGAGGGGAGGGAAGCGTAAGACTAGTTTGACTGGGTTGACTTTTGCTTCCGTGACTTTGAAGAGACTTGCCTCTCCGTTCTTGGAGGGCGTTCGCCACTGGAGAGGGGAGAAAAGGGAAGGGAGGGAACCACATACACAGCTTGACTGGCTTGACTGAGTTGACCGGCTTGACTTTCGTTTCTGTGGCTTTGAAACGCCCTGCCTCTCCGTTCCTGGAGGGAGTTCGCCACTGGGAGGTGAGAGGGAGGGGAAGAGAGGGAAACGCACACACAGGTTGACTTGGTTGACTGGCTTGACCGAGTTGACTGGCTTGACTTTCGTTTCTGTGGCTTTGAAGAGACCCGCTTCTCCGTTCTTGGAAGGACGTCGCCACTGGAGAGGGGAGAAGGGGGAAGGGAGGGAACCACATACACAGCTTGACTGGCTTCACCGAGTTGACCGGCTTGACTTTCGTTTCTGTGGCTTTGAAGAGACCTGCTTCTCTGGCCTTGGAGGGCGTTCGCCACTGGGAGGGGAGAGGGGAGGAAAAGGGAGAGGAGGGAAGAGGGGATGGAAAGAGAGGGGAGGAGAGGGAAAGAGAGGGGAAGAGAGGGAAAGTCACACACAAATTGACTGGTTTGACCGACCCTGCTTCTCCGGTATTAGAGAGTGCGCCACTGGGAGGGGAGAGGGAAGGAAAAGGGAGAGGAGAGGGGGAGGGCGGGCAAGACATACACTGCCTGACTAGTAAAGAGCAGCTTATAAAGAGTACAGAACATCGTACCTCGTGCTGCCTGCATGTGCGGTTACGGTCTTCCTTCCCTTCACAATGTGCCAACTGGTCTTGTGACATATTCACACTGACATATGCTGCACGGGATATCCAGGAGCTCAGGATACGATCTGCATGTGCGGATGCGGTCTTCCTGCCCTTCACGATGTGCAGCATCGAGCTGGTTTTTTAGAATTCTCAAAAACCACCACGGTGTGCAGCATCGTGATATCCCGCATCGCCGCCTTGCCCAGCCCCTTCAGCAGTGCAAGGGAGAACGAGGGTGCAACGTCTCTCTACTTACCTCGTGCTCCCTCTGCATGCGAATCAGGGTAGCGGCATCCTTCCTCCCCTTCACAATGTGGCTTGTAGAAGGTTAGCAGTACACATTGCAATGCGGAGAAGCTTTCTATAGCACTCACCTCGTGCTCCCTCTGCATGCGAATGAGGGTAGCAGCCGTCTTCCTCCCCTTCACAGTATGCAGCATCGTGATGTCCCGCATCGCCGCCTTGCTCAGCCCCTTGGTCACGCTCTCGGGGAGCTTGGAGCGATTGGAGCCTACCAATTTCAACTCGGAGAAGCTTATACTGAGTATAACAGAGTACAGAATATCGTACCTCGTGCTCCCTCCGCATGCGAATTAAAGTAGCAGCGGTCTTTCTCCCCTTTACAATATGAAGCATCGTGATATCCCGCATCGCCGCCTTGCTCAGCCCCTTGGTCACGCTCGAAGAAAGCTTCGCAAATGCCTCGTCAGTGGGCGCGAGAACGGTGAGGCGGTAGTAGCTCATTGCTTCTGGAAGCTCCTTGGCTATTCCTGAAAGAGGAGAGTGATGCGGCGGAGGGTGGGGAAGAGAGGGGGGAGCAGTGTTATTTGGTGACAGGCCTCGTCTGTGGGCGCGAGAACGGTGAGGCGGTAGTAGCTCATTGCTTCTGGAAGCTCCTTGGCTATTCCTGGGGGAGGATGGAGAGGATGGGGGGAGTATGCAGGGGGGAGGACGAGCAGGGAGCTTGGCAAAGGCGTCGTCTGTGGGCGCGAGGCAAAGGCGTCGTCTGTGGGCGCGAGGCAAAGGCGTCGTCTGTGGGCGCGAGGCAGAGGCGTCGTCTGTGGGCGCGAGGCAAAGGCGTCGTCTGTGGGCGCGAGGCAAAGGCGTCGTCTGTGGGCGCGAGGCAAAGGCGTCGTCTGTGGGCGCGAGGCAAAGGCGTCGTCTGTGGGCGCGAGGCAAAGGCGTCGTCTGTGGGCGCGAGGCAAAGGCGTCGTCTGTTGGCGCCTTAGCCTCGCGCCTCGTCTGTTGACGACGCCTCGTCTGTTGGCGCGAGGACGGTGAGGCGGTGGTAACTCATTTCTGTAGGGAGCTCCTTTACGATACCTGGAGGCAAATCGGGGCACATTGAACGAGAGGGGGCAGAATGGCCTCATCGGTGGGCGCGAGAACGGTGAGGCGGTAGTAACTCATTGTTGCAGGGAACTCCTTTGCACCGCCTGGGGTAGGATGGAGGGAATGGGGGCAGTATGCAGGGGGACGGACGGGCGGAGAGAGTTTTGCAAAGGCCACGCCCATGGTCGCCGCGAGGTTGAGACGTCTCAGAAGTCGCCTGGGGGAGGATGGAGGGAACGGGGGCAGAATGTAGGGGGACGGACGGGCGGAGAGTGCTTTGCTAAGGCCTCGTCCATGGGCGGGAGGATGGTGGCGCGAGTCGTAAAGGAAAACGCGGGTTGACCGGGGGAAGGAAACGAGAGGGGAAAAGAAATAAAGGGAAAAATGACGAGCAGGGAAAAGAGGATCGCAGCAGGAGTATAGTACCTGTCGATTCGAAAAGCGACAGCGCAGTGTTGTAGCCTTTCTTCTTCATCTCCGCTATAAAGAACTGAGGAGCCTCAATAGGAGTACCGTTAGATTAACCTTGTAATTCTCAAGAGTACCTGTCGATTCGAAAAGCGACAGCGCAGTGTTGTAGCCTTTCTTCTTCATCTCCGCTATAAGCTTCTTCGCGCCGGTCTTCCCATCGTACTGGCGAGAGCTGCCATCATCGTCCGCGGCGCACAGCTCCGGAAGAAGCGCCGCGAGAAGCGCAAGCAGGACCAGCGACAATCCCCAGGGAGAAAGGCGACGCGCCATGGCGGATAAACGGGTAGCCGGCTCGTAACGCGTAGGCGGTTCTGCTGCTGGAGTGTTTTGATGGCTGGCTTGAGCGAACTATTAGAAGCGAGTGCAGAGGGGGAAAGACGATTCGTTACTGAGTATTACGCTTAAATAAAGAAACATCTTCTTCTGTTACCTCCAGCTGCAGCACAGCGAACTAGGAAACCTGTGCTGGTTCTTAGCTTAGCTTGTATGATCGTCTCACTGTATGTTGCGGCTATGTTGCTAGATTCTGTTTGCTGTGTTCGCTGTGTTTCTATGTTGCTGGGCTCACGTGGACGATATTCTCTGTTCAATGCAAAGTGCGCAGCGGTGGATGAACCTGGAAAATCATTAAGTCATAGCGACTGGCTGAAACGGGAGGGAGGTAGGTATGCGGGAGGTAGGAATTGTTGGAGCAGTGAGGGACAAATTTCTCATGGCTTGGAATTGATGCCAATTTTTGTTGGTGAGGTGGGGAGGTTGGAAAACATTCACATACCCCATTTGGATGATTGTTTGTGGTCGGTAGATCGACCGTTCGGATGGGATCGACGAGCTGGATGGACGAACAAGATTGAAAACGATGGTTGGGACGGGCGGCGGTTCATGTAGGGCGGTGCGGCGATGTGGGGGGCGCCGCCGTCGCTTGACCCTTGAGTTTCGCTTGGGCACATGGCTGTCGATACTCAAGCCAAAATGTCCGCTATAGACACAAAGAAGTGAGGACGAAGCGAAACTATGAACACCTGAAACGAATTAAGGCATGACATGAACCTCTTATTAAATTTAATACTTGGCATCTACCTACGCACTAGAAAATAATGCCATCGATGAAAAGCCTCCTGTAAAACTGCTATTTACAGAAAAAATCACAAAAAATAGAAAGACAATCACCATCTCTCCGTCCATGGCCTCAGGTCCACCTCGAACGCCCAGCCACTCCTCTTCTGCATATGCAGCGACCAATACAGCTCCGCCACATCATCAGGCTGCACCAACCCATCCACCTTCTCTTTCTCCTTTACCATCTCTGGAAAATTCCCCCTAATCCACGGTGTGTCAACAGCCCCATCAATCACCACATGGCAAACATGTACCCCCTGGGGACCTAATTCTTTAGCTAAGCATTGAGCCAGAGCTCTTAGCGCGTGCTTAGCTCCCGCAAAGGCAGAAAACCCTGCAGCGCCACGAACGCTTGCAGTAGCACCGGTGAGAATAATCGTGCCGCAGTTTCTGGGAAGCATCCTCCGTGCAGCCTCACGAGATGTGAGGAAGCCTGCCAAGCATGCCATTTCCCAAACCTGGAGGTTCGGATGACAACATTTTCAAGGGGTTTATAGGGGTTCAAACGACAGACGGTTACATTGAGTCCAACTATAGAGAAGAGAACAGCCTCCGAGTAGCCTTCTGAAAGCTTCACACCAGAATGCCATCTGTTGCACAAGTTGGATAATTTCTGTAAGATTGGTTTTCCCCATTACACATGCTAACATAAGGTGTGTCAGCTGATCACCCATAAGCCCAAAAAAAAAAAAAAAAAAAAAAAAAAAAAAACCACCTGATTGATTGCACCTGATACACCATTACATGGATCCGATTGAACCTAGCTTGGCTGGCTTGACGTCTCTCCACACCTCTCTCTCTCTCCCCCCATGTACAGCTGACACACCTTGAAGTAAACTCTCGATGTTGTGTCCATCACATCAAATTTGACATTCGCCCCAATGTTGAAAACCATCACATGGATCAAGGCAAACATACCCGTCTCTTCAAAGCATACAACTGACACACATTGATGTAAACTCTCAAAGTCGTGTCCGGGAGTTTTTGTATTTTCTCAAAAACCCTCTTCAAAGCATACAACTGACACACCTTGAAGTAAACTCTCGAAGTCGTGTCCACCACATCAAACTTGACGTTTGCTCCGATGTTGAAAACCACCACTCGAACCGGACCAATTTCCTTTTCCACTGTGGCAAACAGTTGAGCCACCTGGTCTGTGGGGAGGAAAGGAATGGGAGGAGCCGGGAAAAGAGGAAGAGAGACAGGGGCAATCCTAGAGCTACTTGCTCCGATGTTGAACACCATCACATGGATGGGACCGATTTCTGAGACGTCTCAAAAGACAGGAGCAATTCTAGAGCTACTTGCTCCGATGTTGAACACCATCACATGCATCGGACCGATCTCCGCCTCCTCTGTAGCGAACAGTTGAGCCACGTGGTCTGCGGGGAGGAAAGGAATGGGAGGAGCCGGGAAAAGAGGAAGAGAGACAGGAGCAATCCTAGAGCTACTTGCTCCGATGTTGAAGACCATCACATGCATCGGACCTATATCCGCCTCCACTGTGGCAAACAGTTGAGCCACCTGGTCTGCGGGGAGGAAAGGGTGGGAGGAGCCGGGAAAAGAGGAGAGACAGGAGCAATTCTAGAGCTACTTGCTCCAATGTTGAACACCATCACATGGATGGGACCGATTTCCCCCTCCACTGTAGCAAACAGCCGAGCCACCTGGTCTGCAATGGAGGAGAGGTGGAGCAGAGGGATGGATGAAAGGAGTGGAGGAGGGAGAAGAGGAGCAGAGACTGGAGACGTGTCAGTGCTGCTCGCACCGATGTTGAACACCATCACATGGATCGGACCGATCTCCGCCTCCACTGTGGCAAATAGTTGCACCAACTGGTCTGTGGGGAGGAGAGAGAGTGAGGAGAGAGATGGAGGAGGAGTGATGCATGCACCGAAGTTGAGTCCCATCACATGGATCGAACAGATCTCTCTTTCCACTGTAGCGAACGGTTGCGCCACCTGGCCTGTGGGGAGGATAGAAACGGAGACGGGAGATAGAGGAGAGGAGTGGAGGAGGAGGGAGAAGAGGAGCAGTGACTGGAGTCGTGTCAGTGCTGCTCGCACCGATGTTAAAAACCAGCACATGAATCGGACTGATTTCTCTCTTTCCACTGTAGCGAACAGTTGCACCACCTAGCCTGCGGGAGGAGAGAGAGTGAGCAGGAGGGGGAAGAGGAAGAGGAACTGGATTGGAGTCAAAACTGGTAGCTCCAATGTTGAACACCATCACATGGATCGGACGGATCTCTCTTTCCACTGTAGCAAACAGTTGCACCACCTGGTCTGCAATGGAGGAGAGGTGGAGCAGGAGGGAGAAGAGGAACAGGGACTGGAGTTGTGTCAGTATTGCTTGCACCAATGTTCAAACCCGTCACATGCAACCATCACATGCGATCCCACACATCATTCCTCACCTTCCCTCTTCCCCTCTCACCCAACACCTCTCATCTTCTCTCTCCCCTATCGCACGCTTAACCTCTCACCTTTTCTCCCTTTATTCCACACTTCAACTCTCACCTTCTCTCCCCACATCTCACCCAAAATCACTCACCCTGGAGCTCCACTAGCCGTTGGAGCTTAGACCCGTCCCCCCGCCATCACTCTCCTTCTCTCTCCCCACATCTCACCCATCATCACTCACCTTCCCTTTTGGCGTCCACTCCAAACGCCACTGCTTTCCCGCCATCTCCATTATCTCCTCCACTAGCCGTTGGAGATTGGATCCGTTTTCTAGAACAGAAAACAAAAACAGCGTCTCTGCTCGCTCACCTTCTCTTCTGGCGTCCACTCCGAATGCCACAGCTTTCCCGCCATCTGCTGCTATTTCCTCCACTAGCCGTTGGAGTTTGGATCCGTTTCTCCGAACCACCACCGCCACATATCCTTCCCTGGCGAACCGCCGAGCCACTGCCGAGCCTATGGCGTCTCCCGCACCTATTACCAAAGCTACGGGCTCGGACGAAGAGGAGTCTAATGGCGACGATTCCCTTGAGTCTTGAGAATTGGCTGGGGAAGATTCGTTTCCTGCATCTGCTGCCGCTGAATCTGCGTGAATTCCGGAATTTCTATGTAAGGCTGCTGACAGGTGTTTCTGCTGCTTTTGACACCAATCATTTGAACAACTCCCCGTTTTACTCGTGGAAGCGGCTGATTGGTCGGCGCGGGAATTCGGGAGGAGATCGGCGACAGAGGAAGAGGATGAAACTCGGATAAGCGGAGAAAGCGTGGAAACACTATCATTAGTTGAATAAATGGTAGGAGACAATAGCGGATATTCCAGTAGACTCAATAGAGGGGATGGTGCTGATGCACCCGAGTGCAAGAAGGATGGGCCAAAGGATGCGCGAGTGTCAGATCCGATAGAAGGCAACGGGGAATTGAGACGCTGATGAACGAGTTCATCAGTCTGAGGTGCGATGTGGCGGGAAAAGACGACAAGACGCGAAAGAGACCGCGAATTGGATGCCATGACATGCGAGAGAATACTAAAGGTTGGGTTGTGCGTAGTCTCGGCGGGGATCTACTGCCTGAATGGACTGACTGCAAGCACTTGGCGGGAAATTTAAAATTGTGCTCATACCCCACATAAGAAGATCAGGGGCGTCGCATTAATGCTAGCAATTTAGAATGTACGGTAAACCATATGCGCTTTTCAGATTTTGAATTTTGCCACTATCGAGGCGTCTAACAAACATGTTTGGACTTTATCTGGTCGCATTATCACGAACTACCTTATCCAGTCTCAAACGGAAATATTTGATCCGCGGAATGCAGCCTTGTCTTACGGGATCCACAACCAATCATGGCAGAGTAAGGCGATTTTGTGTGTTCGTTTTCCATTGCACCAGTGAAGAAGCAGTACTGCACGTGAGACATAGTGCTTCCAAATTATGGAATGTAGGTTTTGTCATGCCAGACTGTCATCTTGTCAACAGATCTTCACCTCATTGGTCAAACACCTTGCAAGCGTGGAGGATATTTTGGTCGAGTGTGTGGCTGGTCTGCCTGTTCGGGAGCCGCAACGATACAGAATGGAAGGAATGTGAAAAGAATATCCGAAATATCATTTGTGGTGTCTCACCCAGTGTTTGAAGCTCACTTCTGCGTCAAAGTTGTGGAAATGACGAGGATCTCAGAGCCCAAGGCGGAATACCCCAGAAGCATGCAACTCTTATATAACGAGCCGTGGTTTCTCCTTCGAAGTCACATTCACTACAATTAGTGTACATCGAAACCCTTCAGTCTAAAAAACCCGGGCCGAGACTTACATTTTGCAAGACAGGGTGAAGCTGGAATGAAGACCAAATCTAGGGGGAATGATGCTCCCCCATCCTGGATGTATCCTCCCTGATTCCTTGGAGTCAGATCTTTTCAAGGTGCCACGGTAGCGTGGCAGCCGCCGCCACCATGAACCCCCTCAAAGGGCAGGGGGAGGTACCCAAATGGGTGCCCTCTCCTGGAGGTATCCACGAACCCAAATGGGTGCCTTCTCCTCTCCCCCTTTCCCCACAAACTACACCTGCCGCTGCTCCACTTGCTACGCCACCTGACCAATGATCGGGCCGTACTCCACCGACGTGTGATGGTACACCCTGTTTCGCGCTAGCAGAGCATCTGGTTGCAGAACATGCACAGGTTGTAGAACGTCACCACGTTTGAAATGGTCTTATCACCGACGGTACAAGCACATTCACAAGAAAGCGGTTAGCTAGGATGCTGCATGGTAAAGAACATTAACCAAGCGTTTCAAAGCGGTTGAAAAGGGTATACAGCGATAAAGAAAAATTTTGCCCCCAGTACCACTCCGTCAGCTGGTGCGGCTTTGCCCGCAGGTTTCAGCCATACGGTTTATGGCACCTGACCGCACTGTAGCAGCGAATCGCGCAAGGTGAGAGGGTCGAGAAACAGGGTGTATGGCTGGCTATGAAACGGGAGACTGCTGACCGTCATTTCCACGCATCCCATCTGATCCGACCTATCACTAGTCCAACCAGCCCTGTCTCTATTCGACTCGGGTTACCTGCCAGGTCATTGACTCGTACTCATGACTCGACCCACTGGTCCCGTTCCTAGCACACGTCACGTCGAATGCCGACACGATTTGCAAGCCTTCTTTCAAAATAAACCGGCGGGCAGGCTGCGCGCGGAACTCCGCCTACTCTCCACCTCACCATTGACTATCTCCCTTGGGTCTGGAACACTTGATTCGTGTAATGTATTTCTACGTCAACAGTTTGATCTCTCTATGTACAGTTATCCCAACACCTCGGCCCTGGCACATCACATGCCGTTTTTCGACTTCCTATGGGTAAAATGGCAGTCCTCCCTACTGACCATCTGCGTTCCCCCATGACAAGATTCGCGTCTCCCCTAGAGTTGAGATCGCCTGGCTGTGAACGCATCGGGCATGATCTCTTTGGCAACCGTCCTCACTGTCGTCAGCAAGAAGATCCTGTACTGTACAATGTGTACAGCGCCCTGCATGATTTGCGTCTGTTAGGGACTATACTGAGCTGTCATCATTTTTGCCCACCAACTGCATTGTAGTTGTGTGCTGAGCTGAACTGAACCCTGGAACCTCACCTCACATCACACTCCATGTTCCACCATTCACCCAGCCCAACCCAACCGAGTAGATCGCAAACCAGCTAAAACCATTCCACACCTGTTCAATCCCATATCGATGGTCCACCATTATGGGCCTGACCATTCCTGGGACACTCGCAAATTGTATCTTTCACCCTCTTGACCTGACATCCACTACCAACCGACCATGCTGCCTCAACTCAACCCACACACCGCCACACATATCACCGTAGAGTAGAATCAGCCACCATAGATTTCCGATCAGTAGCACTACTGCTTGCAGTTCTGAGGAGCTTGTTTGTTCTCGCGTTTGCGGCATTTTCTGGTCAGTCGCCCACTCATCTGTTTGCTTGAATTCCGGTATTTTCGAGAGAAAGGCCTTTTGCCTTGCTGGACAGATGAGTTTCTTGCTCTCAGTGATTTCAACACATTGCTGACAAATATTGACGACCGTGTTCATTCTGCAAGGCGAGTGTACCGCATTGGCTGCTTAGGCTAGCTTGACACAATGGCGCTCCAACTCGCCTCCACCCAAAAAGTTTCGCCTCCTTTTTTCATACCGCGAGCCGCCAGTTGTCAAGAGTTTTTTCAAGAGGCAACAGCCCGACAAACCGTTTCACTTTGCGGCAATTCTTCTTTTTCTGAGAAAGGCAAGATGTCCGTCGCAGAAGGAACCGCCGGTGCTGCGCCGACAGTGACTTGCTTGGGACGAATCAAGAGCCAGTTGTTGCTGGAAGCGCTTTCCTCAGTACAGATTTTGTCGTCTGGAGGAACCGCTGCGGTCTTGGCCGGATCGGCTCCAGCGGCCGTTGGATTCGGATCGATTCGCGGCCCGTCGGAAGAAAACTGCGGGGACATTGGGCGACTCGAGGAGACTGGCGGAGCATTTGGTAAAGCCATGCCAGAAACTGGCATATTCTCGAGCCGCCTTGGATCAACGCACGAAGCGGTAGGCGACATGTCAAACGCGGCGACGTCGCCTGAAGCGTCGTCATCATCGTCGCCGGCGCCTAAATCTCCTGCGCCGCCTGAGGCGGACGAGTCGGCGAGGTCTTGCCCGGGAGCGCCGATGAAGCGGAGGTTATACAACCGATCGCGGCTCGCTGCTATTTCAGATATGAAAAAATTTCGAAGGGCGGTCCGAGAGTTAAGCTTCGGATTCTCTTTAAACGGCAATGAGGTTCCGCGGGACTCGTCCTGCGACGTCGCCTCCGTCGCGACGAACACGACGACGTCGCATGAAGGATCGCATCCGTCGCATGGAGCGTCGCATCTGTCGCAGTCTTCGCAGGCGCCCGCAGGATGGCATTCTCCGCCCGCGTCCGGCGTTCCTCCTGTAGCGGACACGTCAGCAAAAACCTTTCCGCCTGCAGCGCCGAAAAAGCGGAGACCGGGTTACAACAGGACGGATGATCTCGCTGCTACTATGCCGAAGACCAAGAGGTGCCGAATCGTGTCGCGGAAGCTTAATTTCGACGTAGCTTCGAGCCGCGTACTGTTCACTTGAAACTCCCGTTTTCTTTATGAGTTTTGTCAGCTAAGTGTTCTTGTGTGTGTGTGTGTGTGTGTGTGGGTTTGCGTGACTTATCCTTAGTGCTTAACTCATGTACCGTGCTGTTTGTTTTTCTAACAAATTCAACGTTTTGTGCCATCAGAAGTATGTGGTGTTGACTAACCCATCTGAGTGTCCAGTACAAGAGACGTTTTTCTGTAACTTGACACTAGTGCAGAAACGTCAAGGCAAATTTTCCACATTAATGACCAAAGTTCTCATCACATATCAATTGCTTGCACACCTACAAACAAGGCAGAAAGCACAATTTGCAAGGTACCAAATTGTGATCCAAATGTATACGATCCACACCCGAATCTTATTCAAGGCACCTCCACCCACCAGCCCTCTCATAACCCTACCCTACCCCCCCACCCATTCCTCCCATCCACAATTACGCTGCGCTGACCGCTATCCCCATGGACTCGGTTTTTTCAGCCACAGCTTTGGTAATTCCTTGGATGCATCTTTGCCTTTTGCACCTCTCTCTCTTCACCTTCCCTTTCCCGTCAGCCACTCCTCCCGCCCCGCAAGTTACGCTGCGCTGACCGCTATCCCCATGGACTCGGTTGTCTCAGCCACGGCTTTGGTAGTAACCTCCTTGGATGGATGCATCCTCCAGCGACCTCGCCTTTTGCACCACCCTGTCTCCCCCCCGCCCCCACGCCCCCCATCCACAATTACGCTGCGCTGACCGCTATCCCCATGGACTTGGTTTTTTCGGCCACAGCTTTGGTAGTAACCTCCTTGGAAGCATCTTCAAGGGACCTCGCCTTTTGCACCACCCTGTCTCCCCCCCATCCCCACGCCTCCCATCCACAATTACGCTGTGCTGACGGCAATCCCCATGGACTCAGTTTTCTCGGCCACAGCTTTGGTAACTTCCTTGGAAGCATCTTCGAGGGACCTCGCCTTTTGCACCACCTCAAACGCCTCGATGCTGTCGCCCTGCTGCCACTCGTCAAAGCCCTCCACCCCCACCCCGCACTCCAGTCCCGCCACCACCTGGTGTTTGGGGTATTGCAGATAGAGGCACAGGGAAAGGGAGATCAGGGCAAGGACATGGTGGAACGGACACCTCAAACGCCTCAATGCTGTCGCCCTGCTGCCACTCGTCAAAGCCCTCCAGGTCCACTCTGCACTCCAGCCCTGCTACAACCTGCAACATGAGTTGATGGGAGTGGGTTCACAGGGCTAAGAAATAGGGTGTGATAACAGGAGAGCCTCGATGCCTCCTGGCCCACCCTGCACTCCAGCCCTGCCACAACCTGTTTGAGAAAAGGGAGAATGGGGAGTGGGGAGTAGGAATGAAGGGAAGGTAAGCTTCGATGCTGTCGCCCTGCTGCCACTCGTCATAACCTTCCAGGCCCACCCGCACTCAAGCTGACCTCCTTAGCAAGCTCTTTGACTCGTCGCAGCCACGTGAGTGTACCCGAGTACACCTCCCTCTTCCCCTGAATCACGAGGTGACTTTTGAGTCGACTCAAAAGTCACCTCGCACTCGAGTAGTCGACTCAAAAGTCACCTTGCACCCGAGTACACCTCCCTCTTCCCTCGAATCACCGCCACCCCACACCCCTTGACGAGCTTCCCTTCCTTCCAAGTTTGATTTGTACTCTTCATAAGCGTTCCTCTTTAGCAAGCTCTTTGACTCGCCGGAGCGACGTGAGTGTACCCTAGTACAACTCCCTCTTCCCTCGAATCACCGCCACCTCACACCCGTTCACGAGATCCCTTCCTTCCAAGTTTGATTTGTACTTGTTATAAGCGTACCTCTTTAGCAAGCTCTTTGACTCTTCGGAGCGACGTGAGTGTACCCGAGTACACCTCTTTCTTCCCCCGAATTACCGCCACCCCACACCCCTTCACGAGCTTCCCTTCAGTCACCATCACTCCAGCCACCTTGCTGCTTCCCGCACCAAACACCGCCCGAACCTCCGCCGAGCCTAGAGGCGTGCGCTCCTGGATTCGAGAGAGGGGAGACAAGAGGAGAGGGAAGGGGGAAGAGGGAGGGCAGGGGAGGAGAGGCACGAGGGGTGAAGGGAGTGAGTGAGACAAGAGAGCGTGTGAGGTGAAACAAAGCTCTCTCCGCACGCTTTCACGAGCTTCCCTTCAGTCACCATCACCCCAGCCACCTTGCTGCTCCCCGCACCAAACACCGCCCGCACCTCCGCTGAGCCTAGAGGAGTGCGCTCCAGGATTTTAAGGAGGGGAGACGAGAGGAGAGGGAAGGGGGAAGAGAGAGGGAGGGGGAGGAGAGGGAAGTGGGGTGAAGGGAGTGGAGTGAGTGAGGCACGAGAACGTGTGAGGTGAGGTGACTCAAGGCCCACCCCACTCCACACCCCTTGACGAGCTTCCCTTCAGTCACCATCACCCCAGCCCAGCCACCTTGCTACTCCCCGCCCCAAACACCGCCCCGAACCTCCGCCGAGGGTGAGGCGTGCGCTCCTGGAGTTTGATGGTGTGGGGGAGGGGGGGGAGCGGAACCGGGCAGAGAGGGGGAGGTGGGGGGAAGAAGCGGGTCGAGCAGCCCCTCCATTGCCTTCCTGACGTCAACAATCAGGTCATAGATCACTCGGTACGTCCGCACTTCCACACCAACCAGCATGACAGCTCGAGCACTGCTCAGCACCACTCAGCACCACTCAGCACCACTCAAGGGAACGCACCTCCACAGAATCAAGCAGCCCCTCCATGGCCTTCCTGACGTCGTCAATCAGGTCGTAGATCACTCGGTACGTCCGCACTTCCACACCCTTCTCCTCTGCTGCTTGGAGTGACAGGCCTACATTTCCCACAGGCACACTCCAGGCACTCTCTCTCTCCCTCTCTCTTCTCACCTCAACAGAGTCAAGAAGCCCCTCCATTGCCTTCCTGACATCGTCAATCAGGTCGTAGATCACTCGGAACGTCCGCACTAATGGTGTGGAAGTGCGGACACTAACGTCCTCTGCTGCTGCCTCCACGGCGGGCGGCATGCTCACGTTGAATGCCAGCACCACAACCAGAGCACCATCCAGCACCACTCAGCACCGCTCCGAACCACTCAGGACCACTTTCACGGCCAGTTCTCACCTCAACAGAGTCAAGAAGCCCCTCCATTGCCTTGCGAACATCATCGATAAGGTCGTAGATCACTCGGTATGTCCGCACTTCCACACCCTTCTCCTCTGCTGCTGCCTCCACAGCGGGCGACATGCTCACGTTGAACGCCAGCACCACCGCCTCGCTGGCAACTGCCAGGTCAATGTCGCTCAGTGCCACGTCACCAGCAGCCTGTAGGGAAAGGGGAGAGCAGTGGAAGAATGGGGGAGAAGGAAGAATAGTGAAAGTTATTATGAAACTCACATATAGCGTATCTCAAACTTGTAACGAATCTCCTCTGAAGCGGGAACTGCAGCAAAGGTCTGCTACTGCAACACTTGCAGAATGGACCCTCACAATCTTATAACAAAGTTAACTTTTCTAGTGGGTTTCACCTTATAGCAAATCTCACCTGGAGAAGGAACCGCAGCGAAACTGTGTCTTGGGGCAGCGCTGTCAGCGCCTCCCTAATGGCCTCCACAGCACCCTGGAGGGGGGGGGAAGATAGATAGATACAAAACGGTGGAGAGAGGTGTGAGAAGGATGCTGTGCGGTGCAGGGCGATGAGTCACCATAGCACGGTGTCTTGGGGCAGCGCTGCCAGCACCTCCCTGATGGCCTCCACAGCACCCTGGAGAGACGAGAGGGAGAGAGAGAGGGGTACAAAACGGTTGAGAGGAGTGAGGATTAGACGAAGGCAGGTCCGTGTCTTGTGGCAGAGCTGCCAGCGCCTCTCTGATCGCCTCCACAGCACCCTGCGAGATGAGAGAGGCAGAGAGAGGGGTACAAAACGGTGGAGGGGGGTGAGGAGGAACTGCAGTGACACGGTGTCATGTGGCGGTGCCGCCAGTGCCTCTCGGATTGCCTCCACAGCACCCTGGAGAGGGATGATAGAGCAGGGTACGGAACGATAGAGAGAGGTTATGGAGCGGTGGAGAGAGGTGTGGTTGGGTGCAGTGCGGTACAGTGTGATGACAATAACCAGCGCTTAGTCTTGCCGGCAGCACCGCCAGCCTGGCGGCACTGACTGACTCGCCTGCAGGCTGGAGGTATACCAACCCGTGCCAATTCATGAGTCGACTCAAAATGACTTTGAGGTGACTTTTGAGTCGACTCAAAATGACTTTTGAGGTGACTTTTGAGTCGACTCAAAATGACTTTTGAGGTGACTTTTGAGTCGACTCAAAATGACTTTTGAGGTGACTTTTGAGTCGACTCAAAATGACTTTTGAGGTGATTCAAAAGGCGGCTCTGACTGACTCGCCTGCAGGCTGGAGGTATACCAACCTGTGCCAATTTTTATAAGACCCATGCATGCAGGGACCCACCTCATTGTCGACCTTCAGGATCACGTTCAGCTGGTGGAACTCGAGTCCTTCCTCCTCCCCCTCTCAATCACTGCCCATCCCTCCAGACGCCCCCCGGCCAGCCAGGGCGGAGAGAGACACCTTCGACTCGCCCTGCAGGGCTGCCAGCGTGGCTGCTCAAAGAGTTCCAGCCTGCGCCAATCCGAGCAGAGCCAAATCTCACAAACCCCAATCCCTCCGGCAGGGACCCACCTGGTTGTCGACCTTGAGAATCACGTTCAGCTGGTGGAACTCAAGTCCTTCCTCGTCCCCCTCTCCATCACTGCCCATCCCTCCAGACGCCCCCCGGCCAGCCAGGGCGGAGAGAGACACCTTCGACTCGCCCTGCAGGGCTGCCAGCCTGGCGGTGCGCAGCTTCGCAGCAGCTTCCTCGGCCATGTTGCGGGCCTGGTCAAGCGAGTCAACCACTTCAAAGTGGTCGCCTGCCACCGGCACTGAGCTGAGACCCAGGACCTGAGGTGTGGGAAGAGAGGGAAAAACATGCAGACATATATGAGAAAACGGTCTGATCAAGCGAGTCAACCACTTCCAAGTGGTCGCCTGCCACCGGCACTGAGCTGAGATCGAGGACCTGAGGTGCGTGAGGGGAGAGGGTATGGGAAACGGAAGCGCTGAGCCATGTTGCGGGCCTGGTCAAGCGAGTCAACCACTTCAAAGTGGTCGCCTGCCACCTGCACGGAGCTGAGACCGAGGACCTGAGCCAGACAAAGAGGGTATGAGAAACGCAAGATCCAAGAGAGTGAGTGAGTGGCTGGTCAAGCGAGTCAACCCACTTCAAAGGGGTCGCTTGCTACCGGCATGGAGCTGAGAAGCAGAATATTTACAACATCCCCATCAATGGTTACTAGATCTCTGTGTGACTTTTGAGAATCCTCAAAAGTCACGCAAATATACCTGCCACCGGCACGGAGCTGAGAAACAGAATATTCACAACATCCCCATCAATGGTTACTAGATCCAAACTCATATCGGAATAGCTGCAAGAAAACTAGGTAGTAGTACAAGAAACCCCTTAACTCGCAGAAGCAGAATATTCACAAGATCCCCATCAATGGTTACTAGATCTCCACAGCAAGAGAAGGACCGGCAGTGTGATAATCAATTGGTTCTGAGATGTCTCAATACTACTTTGTGATTGCCTCTGCAGACTGGCACTTGATAGATAGAGAAGGCAAATAACCCCTCTCCACTCTGCAGCAGACTGGCACTTGATAGATAGGCTTACCTCCACAGCGAGAGAAGGCCCAGCAGAGTCGCTGCGGCTGCCCTAGCTAACAAACAATCCCCCCAGACTTGCACTTCACTGGAAGGCTTACCTCCACAGCGAGAGAAGGCCCAGCAGAGTCGCTGCGGCTTCCCGTGTCGTCCACTAGAGCTCGGATCTGAAGGGCAGATGGAGGGGGTTGCAGGGGAGTGCAGGGGGGTGGATAGGGGTGAGGACCTTAGCAGTGACAGCGAGAGAAGGCCCTGCAGAGTCGCTGCGGCTTCCCGTATCGTCCACTAGAGCTCGGATCTGCCGCAGGGAGTGGAGAGGGGTGGAAGGGAGTGGAGGGGAATGGAGAGGGGTGGACAGAGGTGCGGGCAGGTGGAAGAGAAGGCCCAGCAGAGCAGAGACACTGCAACTGCCCATGTCGGCCAGAGCTTGGGATCCACAGCAGCACCCATTCCCCATCCCCGACTCTTGAGGCGCCTCAAAAACTCGACTTATCAGACACTGCGACTGCCCATGTCGGCTAGAGCTTGGATCCACAGCAGCACCCATTTTTTTTTAATTCTCAAAAAACAGACGCTTGGATCCGCAGCAGCACCCTTTTTTTTAGAATTCTCAAAAAACAGACGCTTGGATCCGCAGCAGCACCCATTTTTTTAGAATTCTCAAAAAACAGACCCTTGGATCCGCAGCAGCACCCACTCCCCATCCCCGACTGCACCAGCCGCATCGCCGTGTGTGATAAGTCGAGATTTGAGTCAACTCAAAACTCGACTTATCAGACACTGCGACTGCCCATGTCAGCTAGAGCTTGGATCCACAGCAGCACCCATTCCCCATCCCCGACTGCACCAGCGGCATCGCCACAGGCTCTCATTTCCCCTCTTGCCCACTTCCCCATTCCGATCCCCACCCTACCCAGCCTCACCTTCCCGTACGCCTCTCCACACAGCACCACGCTTCCCAGGCTCATCATGCCGTTCTGCACCAGCAGCGTCGCCACCGGCCCTCATGTTACCATATCACCAGTCTCCTTCATCCTCTCCAATACTTCTCCTCTCATCCCAACCCATCCTCACCTTCCCATATGCCTCTCCACACAGCACCACGTCTCCCAGCCTGAGTGTGCCGTTCTGCACCAGCAGCGTCACCACCAGCCCACATGGTCCCCCATTACCCGCCCCCGTCTTCCTGTCACTACCCCTCCCTTACTCCCATCCCAACCCAGCCTCACCTTCCCGTACGCCTCGCCACGCAGCACCACATCTCCCAGCCTATCGTGCCGTTCTGCACCAGCAGCATCGCCACAGGCCCAATTGCCCCCCACACCCAACTCCGTTACCCGTCCCCCTCTTCCTCTCCACCACCCCTTCTCCTCTCATCCCAACCCAGCCTCACCTTGCCGTATGCCTCTCCACACAGCACCACGTCTCCCAGCCTGAGTGTGCCGTTCTGCACCAGCAGCGTCGCTACCGGCCCCCTCTGCTTGTCCCTTGCACCATTCATGCCTTGATCCCACTTCCACATATAAAGTCATTCGTACCTTCCCATACGCCTCTCCACACAGCACCACATCTCCCAGCCTCAGTGTTCCGTTCTGCACCAGCAGCGTCGCCACGGGTCCCCTCTGCTTGTCCACTACCCACTCTGGTCATATCCCTTTCCCCCCTCCCCCTCCCCCTCCCCCTCCCCCGTCATACCTTCCCGTATGCCTCTCCACACAGCACCACGTCTCCCAGCCTGAGTGTGCCGTTCTGCACCAGCAGCGTCGCCACGGGTCCCCTCTGCTTGTCCAGGCTTGCTTCTATCACCGTCCCTGCCGCCTGCCTGTCAGGATTGGCCCTGAGCTCTTGAATCTGCAACACAACGAAGTGTGGTGAGGGTGGGAGGGTGGAGGAGAAGGGGGGACAGGGGAGGGATTTAAGTGCCTCGGGTCCCCTCTGTTTGTCCAGACTCGCCTCTATCACCGTGCCTGCTGCCTGTCTGTCACCCCCTCACATTCCCCCTCAAAATGGATTGTCACCATTTGTCACCACAGCAACCACCACTACCCGCCACTCCCTCACATTCCCCCTCTCTAGAGGTACATTTGCAAACACCTCCCTCTCTTTAGAATCTCAAGAAGCCTGTCCCTTCCTGTCCCCCTCCGTGCCTTTTGAGACGGGAGATTCTTCCCCTCCCGTTTCCTTCGTGTCCCTCCCCACTCCTTTCCCTTTAGACCCGGTCCTTCAAACGCTCTTCTCCTGCTCAAAGGAACTCTACAGCCCTCCATCTCCCACCTCGGCAATGAGAATGATCTTCTCGAGAAGGCTGCCCACTTCCTCGCCTGTCATATGTCCCTTGAGACATCTAGCACTCCCTCTCCCTTCAGACACCCCCACTTCAGCCCCCCTCCCCCCAATCCCTCCCCCTTGATCCCTCCATCTCTCACTTCAGCCACAAGCATGATCGTCTCGAGCAGGCTGTCCACTCCTTGGCCTGCCTAATGTCTTTCCAGACACCTAACACTCCTCTCCTTGTATGCACTCTCAATTCACCCCCTCCTCTCCCACTTCTCACCTCAGCCACAAGCATGATCGTCTTGAGAAGGCTGTCCACTCCTTGGCCTGCCTAATGTCTTTCCAGACACCTAACACTCCTCTCCTTGTATGCACTCTCAATTCACCCCCTCCTCTCCCACTTCTCACCTCAGCCACAAGCATGATCGTCTTGAGAAGGCTGTCCACTCCTTGGCCTGCCTAATGTCTTTCCAGACACCTAACACTCCTCTCCTTGTATGCACTCTCAATTCACCCCCTCCTCTCCCACTTCTCACCTCAGCCACAAGCATGATCGTCTTGAGAAGGCTGTCCACTCCTTGGCCTGCCTAATGTCTTTCCAGACACCTAACACTCCTCTCCTTGTATGCACTCTCAATTCACCCCCTCCTCTCCCACTTCTCACCTCAGCCACAAGCATGATCGTCTTGAGAAGGCTGTCCACTCCTTGGCCTGCCTAATGTCTTTCCAGACACCTAACACTCCTCTCCTTGTATGCACTCTCAATTCACCCCCTCCTCTCCCACTTCTCACCTCAGCCACAAGCATGATCGTCTTGAGAAGGCTGTCCACTCCTTGGCCTGCCTAATGTCTTTCCAGACACCTAACACTCCTCTCCTTGTATGCACTCTCAATTCACCCCCTCCTCTCCCACTTCTCACCTCAGCCACAAGCATGATCGTCTTGAGAAGGCTGTCCACTCCTTGGCCTGCCTAATGTCTTTCCAGACACCTAACACTCCTCTCCTTGTATGCACTCTCAATTCACCCCCTCCTCTCCCACTTCTCACCTCAGCCACAAGCATGATCGTCTTGAGAAGGCTGTCCACTCCTTGGCCTGCCTAATGTCTTTCCAGACACCTAACACTCCTCTCCTTGTATGCACTCTCAATTCACCCCCTCCTCTCCCACTTCTCACCTCAGCCACAAGCATGATCGTCTCGAGCAGGCTGTCCACTCCTTGGCCCGTCTTATGTCTCTTGAGACATCTCAACACTACCATCCCCTTCACACACCTCTGTTTCAACCCCCCCTTCCCCTCTCTCCCTCGTCCTTACCTCGGCAACGAGCATGATCGTCTCGAGAAGGCTGTCCACTCCTTGGCCTGTCTTTGCCTCTTCAGAGCTCCAACACTCCCTCTCATTTAAGAGAATCCCTCTCCCTTCGAAAATCCCCCCTCCTCTCCCCCTTACCTCGGCCACCAGCATGATTGTCTCGAGCAGTATGTCCACTCCTTGGCCTGTCTTTGCGCTGACCTGCAGCCACAAGAAGACGATTGGGAGGGAATGCGATGGGGAGGGGTGAGAAAAATGGATGTGTGTACGTGTGAGGGAGTGAATAGGCATGATTGTCTCGAGCAGTATGTCCACTCCTTGGCCTGTCTTTGCGCTGACCTGCAGCCACAAGAAGACGATTGGGAGGGAATGCGATGGGGAGGGGTGAGAAAAATGGATGTGTGTACGTGTGAGGGAGTGAATAGGCATGATTGTCTCGAGCAGTATGTCCACTCCTTGGCCTGTCTTTGCGCTGACCTGCAGCCACAAGAAGACGATTGGGAGGGAATGCGATGGGGAGGGGTGAGAAAAATGGATGTGTGTACGTGTGAGGGAGTGAATAGGCATGATTGTCTCGAGCAGTATGTCCACTCCTTGGCCTGTCTTTGCGCTGACCTGCAGCGGCCATGGGAAGAGGGGAGACAAGAGGGACAGAGAAGAGCGTGCGATGCAGAGGTAGAAAGTGTGCCTTCATCCCAGTATAATCACACCAAGCACTCATATTAGTCACTTTCAGTGCGCTGTTTCGCACAATTGGCACGGCGCGTGTGTGTGCTTATCTCTCGCTACAGTCACACACACACGACACTCACCGGCACCATTGGCGTGTCCCCCCCCCACTCCTCCGATATAAGCCCTCCTCCCACTGCCAGCTCATGTGCCCATCCACTACACCATACCACACCATATCACACCACACCACATGACCTACGTCCAGTTCCCGTTCCGTTAAAACCATTCTTTGTGTGCATTTCGTTACAGTCACAGCACTCACCGGCACCATGGGCGTGTCTCCTCCCCACTCCTCCGACATCAACCCTCCTGCTGACAGCTCCTGCATCACCCTGTCCACGTTCGCCCCCTCCTTGTCCATCTGTGAGTTGGATAGAAGAAGGTGAGCGGGGAGTGAGTGGAGGGAGACAATAGAGGGTAGAGTGTGGTCAATAAGAGCATCAGCCCTCCAGCTGCGAGCTCCTGCATCACCCTGTCCACGTTCGCGCCCTCCTTGTCCATCTGTGTGTGGGGGGACGAGGGGAGTCGAGGGAGGAATAAGGAGAGACAGAGCAAATAAGAGGGGGGAGGGAGAGAGTGCCTAAAGGCATGCATCAGCCCTCCTGCTGACAGCTCCTGCATCACCCTGTCCACATTCGCCCCCTCCTTGTCCATCTGCACATGGGAAGGGACACAACACACGGGCACACAAGGGGCACATGGAAAATCCAGTGACTCTTAAGCTCCTGCATCACCCTGTCCACATTCGCCCCCTCCTTGTCCATCTGTGCATGGGGGACGGGGCGCAGGGGAAGAGTGCGGAGCGAGGGGAGTGAGAGAAGAGAGGGGAGAGTGGTTTTAGAGGCACCTCCAAAATCGAAGAGAGGGGAGAGTAGTCAAGGGCATGAGTCTCCCTCCTGCTGCGAGCTCCTGCATCACTCTGCCCACGTTCACGCGCTCCTTGTCCATCTGTGTGTGTGAGGTAGGAACAAAGGAGAGCCGCAAACGGTATGAGGGGACTGTGTGACCGAGGAGACGTCAGTCAAGGGTATGAGCCATAGCCTCAGTGGTATGCGGCCTGACCCCATCATCTGCTGCCACCACAATCACCGCTATATCCGTCACCCGCGCCCCCAACGATAACGTCTCCTCCCCATGCTCCCAATGGAAATGTCCTCGTTATAGACATGATCATACCTTGTTGATGGCCACGACAATGGGAACACCAGCAGCGCAGGCGTGGGCTATAGCCTCTGTAGTTTGCGGCCTCACACCATCATCTGCCGCCACCACAATCACCGCTACATCCGTCACCCGCGCCCCCAATGCTACCCTCTCCTCCCCATGCTCCCGATGGAAATGTCCTCGTTATAGACATGATCATACCTTGTTGATGGCCACGACAATGGGAACACCAGCAGCGCAGGCGTGGGCTATAGCCTCTGTAGTTTGCGGCCTCACACCATCATCTGCTGCCACCACAATCACCGCTATATCCGTCACCCGTGCCCCCAATGCTATCCTCTCCTCCCCATGCCCCGTATGGAAATGTCCTCGTTACAGACATATTCATACCTTGTTGATGGCCACGACAATGGGAACACCAGCAGCGCAGGCGTGGGCTATAGCCTCTGTAGTTTGCGGCCTCACACCATCATCTGCCGCCACCACAATCACCGCTACATCCGTCACCCGCGCCCCCAATGCTACCCTCTCCTCCCCATGCTCCCAAGGGAAATGTCCTCGTTATAGACATGATCATACCTTGTTGACGGCCACGACAATGGGAACACCAGCAGCGCAGGCGTGGGCTATAGCCTCTGTAGTTTGCGGCCTCACACCATCATCTGCTGCCACCACAATCACCGCTATATCCGTCACCCGTGCCCCCAATGCTATCCTCTCCTCCCCATGCCCCTTATGGAAATGTCCTCGTTACAGATATATTCATACCTTGTTGATGGCCACGACAATGGGAACACCAGCAGCGCAGGCGTGGGCTATAGCCTCTGTAGTTTGCGGCCTCACACCATCATCTGCCGCCACCACAATCACGGAGATATCCGTCACCCGCGCCCCCCCTATGGTATCCTTTCTTTCCTCCCCAGTTCTCGTTACAGACATACCTTGTTGATAGCAACCCGTTTGGAACACCAGCAGCGCGGGCGAGCGCAATCGCCTCAGTTGTCACCGCCTCCCTCCCTGTCCATATCCTCAATATCATCATACCTTGTTAATGGCGACCACGATTGGAACACCAGCAGCACGAGCGTAAGCAATCACTTCAGTGGTCTGCGGCCTGACGCCATCATCCGCCGCCACCACAATCACGGCTATATCCGTCACCCGCGCCAACATGTGGTGTCCCATTGTACCCTCTGGATGTGTCCTCTTATAGGCGTACCTTGTTGATAGCAACCACGATTGGAACACCAGCAGCACGAGCGTGAGCAGTCGCCTCAGTGGTCTGCGGCCTGACCCCACGAACTGCTGCCACCACAATCACCACTATATCCGCCACCCCCTCTCTCCCTGTCCACATCCTCATTATAAGCATACCTTGTTAATGGCGACCACAATGGGAACACCAGCAGCGCGAGCATGAGCGATTGCCTCTGTAGTTTGCGGCCTCACACCATCATCCGCTGCCACCACAATCACGGCTATATCCGTCACCCGTGCCCCCTATGGTATCCTTTCCTCCCCTCGTGACCTGGCGTGTCCAGGAACACAATGCTCATCCGTCACCCACTCTCTCCTCAACCCCTGACCTTCCATATGCATCCTCCTTCTAGTAATATACATACCTTGTTAATCGCGACCACGATAGGGACGCCTGCAGCGCGGGCGTGGGCTATAGCTTCAGTGGTCTGAGGCCTGACACCGTCATCCGCTGCCACCACAATCACGGCTATATCCGTCACCCGCGCCCCCCGCGCGCCCACATGGCGCTGAACACCTTTGGAGACGTCTCAATAGTCGCCCCCCGCGCCCGCATGGCACTGAACGCCTTTTGAGACGTCTCAATAGTCGCCCCCCGCGCCCGCATGGCACTGAACGCCTCGTGACCTGGCGTGAGCTATAGATTCAGTGGTCTGCGGCCTGATCCCATCTACCTGCTGCCACCACAATCACCGCACCCCTATGCTATCCTCGTCATAGACATACCTTGTTAATGGCGACGACAATAGGCACGCCAGCGGCACGAGCATGAGCGATAGCTTCAGTGGTCTGCGGCCTGACCCCATCATCTGCTGCCACCACAATCACCGCACCCCTATGCTATCCTCGTTATAGACATACCTTGTTAATGGCGACAACAATAGGCACGCCAGCGGCACGAGCATGAGCGATAGCTTCAGTGGTCTGCGGCCTGACCCCATCATCTGCTGCCACCACAATCACCGCTACATCCGTCACCCGCGCCCCGCGCGCCCGCATGGCGCTGAACGCCTCGTGACCTGGCGTGTCCAGGAACACACACGTGTGCAGCCCCGCCTCGTTCTCGTCCTCACTGTCCACGTCAGCATCCGAGTCATCGTCTGAGTCAGCGGCGTACGGCACCCACACGCGGTAGGCGCCGATTCCCTGGGTGATTCCGCCCGCCTCCCCTGCTGCCACCTTGGTCTTGCGAATGTAGTCAAGCAGAGAGGTCTGTTGGGAGGGAGTGGATGGGAGGTGGACGGGTATGGGGCAGAGAGTGCGTTAGTACGGTAGGCGCCGATGCCCTGGGTGATTCCGCCTGCCTCCCCTGCTGCCACCTTGGTCTTGCGAATATAATCCAGCAGAGAGGTCTGTTGCGAGGGAGTGAGAGGGGAGAGTGGAAGGGGAGTGGGAGGAGCAAGGGAGAAGAGAAGGGCCAGAGGGGAGTGGAAGGGGATTGGGAAGCCACACGCGGTAGGCTCCGATGCCCTGGGTGATCCCGCCCGCCTCCCCAGCTGCCACCTTTGTCTTGCGGATGTAATCCAGCAGAGAGGTCTGTTGCGAGGTGAGAGGATGGAGGGGAAGGAAGAGGGGAAGGACGAGAGGAAACATTTGGGCACCCACACGCGCCCTGGGTGATCCCGCCCGCCTCCCCTGCTGCCACCTTGGTCTTGCGAATATAATCGAGAAGAGAGGTCTGTTGAGGGTGTGGGGGGGAGCGAACCCTTCATCTAGTATACTCTTTTCTCGTTATAGTCTCACCTTGCCATGGTCCACGTGTCCCATTATAGTCACAACGGGCGGGCGCACCACCAGGTGCTCCAGATCCTCTTGCCACTCGAATAACATCTCTTACATTCGAATATTTCACCCAATATTCTCTTTTCTCAATATAGTCTCACCTTGCCATGGTCCACGTGTCCCATTATAGTCACAACGGGCGGGCGCACCACCAGGTGCTCCAGATCCTCCTCCTGCACAAATTCGCGCTGCTTCCTGGCAGCTTCCCCCATCGCTGCCTCGCTGGCATCGAGAACCTCCACCCCGTACTCGGCACACACCATGCGCACTGTATCCTCGTCAAGAACTTGGTTCACTGTAGTCGCAATTCCCTGTAACGAGAATGACAATAACGGGTCATGGTACAGATTTTGACAATGTCAAGAACCTCCACCCCGTACTCGGCGCACACCATGCGCACTGTATCCTCGTCAAGAACCTGGTTTACTGTAGTCGCAATACCCTGTAACGGGGATGTAATAATAACGGGGTGTGATGGTTTCAAATGATTCAACAAAAGGCCAGTCAAGAACCTCACACTCCATGCCCACTGTATTCTCGTCAAGAATCTGATTTACCATAAACAACGCCTAGGCAACGAGGGAAAGCAGAAAAAAAAAACACAATTCCCTTATTGCCCAGGCCTCAAACCTCACACCCAAACCCAATCCCCCATCATTCAAACCTGCACGTTCCTTTCCCACCCCACGCCATGACTCAACCCCCTCTCCTATCAGACAAACCGTCCCCAGATCGCACCTTCATGAAGAGAGCCTTGGCCACGTCAGAGTCGTTGACCGCCAGCTCCTGCGCCAGCTCCTGCACGCTCATGCCCTCCTTCCCCACCTCCAGACTCTCCGCCTTTGGAATTTCCGCCCATTCCCCACACCACGCACCTTCATGAAGAGAGCCTTGGCCACGTCAGAGTCGTTGACCGCCAGCTCCTGCACGCTCATGCGCTCTCATGCCTGCTTTCCCAGGTTAGAGTAGTATTTCCGCCCATTCTTCCAATCCCCCACCCACCACGCACCTTCATGAAGAGAGCATTGACGACGTCCGAGTCGTTCACCGCCAGCTCCCGCGCCAGCTCCTGCACGCTCATGCGCTCTCATACTCTCTCATCCTATCTCATCCTCTCATCTCATGCTCTCCGTCCGTCACCCAAACCCCATCACTGAACCCTTCACTTCTCAGTCGTACCTTCATGAAGAGAGCCTTGACCACATCCGAGTCGTTGACTGCCAGCTTCCGCACGCTCATGACCTCCCTCCTTCCCCACCTCCAGACTCTCCGCCTAGAGAATTTCCGCCCATTCCCCCCCCATTCCCCACACCACGCACCTTCATGAAGAGTGCTTTGACCACATCTGAGTCGTTGACTGCCAGCTCCCGCGCCAGCTCCTGCACGCTCATGCCCTCCTTCCCCACCTCCAGAATCTCCGCCTGAACGGGCGCAGCGGCCTTCTTAGCCTCCTCGCGCGCAGCTCTGCGCGACGCCTTGCTCTGCTTCCGGTTCCCCCGCGCCTGCTCCGCCACCGTTGAGCCTTTCCCCCCGCGCCTCCCCCGTCCGGCCCCGTCGCGGTCGCCTTCCCCGCCTCTCCTCCGCGTGTCTTTCCGCCCGCCTCTTGCCGGAGCCTTGTCCGGACCCCCGAAAGGTCCGGGGGTAGGAGCTCCGCCGGGTGCGCTTGCGCCGGCCCTGCCCTCCGCGGCAGGCTGCGCCCTGCGCCCAGCATCGCGCAAAATGGGGCCCCTGCGCGGGGCTCCTGCCGCGCCCGCGGCGGAAGCGCGCTCATCGTCGGAAGATGAGGCGTCGGCGGAACCCTTGGGCTTCCACGCCAGCTTCTCCCTTGCGCTCGTTCCGTCTGCGCTGGCGGCGGGCGCTTGTCCGCGCACGTACACGCCCGGCCGCGCCGGAGCCGGCTGCGCAGGCGGGGTGGGGCGGCTGAACGACGCCACAGGTCGATCAAACTTCGGCCTGTCTACCCTGACCGGCTTGGGCCGAACCACCGTTGGAGGCTCGGGATCTTCGAAACCCGCGCTTGGCGGAGCCGCGCTGGCGCTCGACTCAGAATCCTCTGATGCGTTACTAGCTGCCTCGTTAGGCGTCTCCTTGCGCACGAGTACAATCTCTTCCACGTCAGAACCCGAACCACCCTCTTCCCCCCCCGCGCTCTCCGCTGCTCCCGCGGATGATCCATTAAGCGCGAGACCGCCGTCCGCTCCCCCCGCGATTCCGCCATTTCCCATCCGCTCCGCCTTCTCCAGAATTTCCTTTAGATTCTGCACCGCCGCCACACCCGCGCTGTCCGGACCCGGGGCGCGCGCGGCGCGGTCCCTCGGCCTAAAAACACTCTTCCCGCTCGCAGCAACACCCCCGTTCGGTCGGGCCCCCGCTACTCCGGGCCTCGGTACCCACGACCTCGCTCCGCCACGCGCGCCGGCGGCGGGCGCAGCGGGCCTAGCGGGCGGCTGCGCTGGCGCGGGGCGCACGAGAACGGGCTTGGAGAGCTGCGGGGGCTCTGGGGAAGCGGAAGACAGCGGGGAAGCGGAAGCATCCGCGGAAGAGTCGGAAGCATTTCCCTCAGTGGTGGTGGCGGAGTCAACAGCTGTAACAGTTACAGTTTCAGGGCTGGTCGCTGTAGTGGTAACCGCGGGATGTCTTCGCGAAACGTATCGCCGCGACAAGGTGCTGCTGTGGCCAAGCGACGTGCCGCTTAGGAGAAGAGAAGAGCCGATGTTTCCTCGCTTAAATGACGAGATTCCGACTTGTGAAGAGGAAGTGCTCCTCGCGCGTCGAGCGAGCTGCTGGCACGCGCAGCTGTACGCTCTGCCGTCAGCGGAGGCTGACGTGGCAGAACATGACGTGGCAGAGAATGACGTGGCAGACTGAGCGACTGCGCATCCGCTGAGCGTGCGGCTGATCGCTGACGCCATGCTGGGAATCTCGCGTTTCCCTCCCAAATGGCGAATGCAGCTGTCGGCGTGAACTCAGTGAGAATGACGTCAGTAGAGCAGACGACTAGCGGCACAATGGACGTCAGCAGGCACACAGACTCAACCACAACTTCCCGCAGCCACCTCCAGCGAACTTGTATCGAGGATGAAGCTTCGAGATGCGAGCCACCCCCACGAACCACGTTCTGTGATTGCCTAGTTATAGACAGACCCTCGCTTGCCCATATAAGTTAGCACTTGCACCCAGTCAAATGCTAAGGTCGAAACTGGAAAGACTCAGTGGAAACTGGAGGCTTAGTAGGTACGAGGAGAAGCGTCTGCCGTGAGAATGGCTGTGCTGCTTCTGTCGAAATCACTGGACGCTGCTTTCGACGCCTTACGCGCTACGAGGTGAAGCAGGCAAGGCACTTCCTACGAATCCCAAGAGGAAAGTGGAGAACCTGTAGGAGTATACCAGACTCTGCAAAAGAGAAGTTTGAAGAAGCTTGGGAGAGATTTTGTAGGACCTTGGGGTTGACAGGAAGGTATGAGAGTGAGTTGATGAATTGGGTTGATGACGGAACTGGACATCTTGCAAGACCCTACCCAACCACTCATTAAGCTAAACAACCGTTTATTGGAAAAACAAACTTGAATCCCGTGAAACCACTTTCATCAGTGGAGTGGAGTGGACCCTTGGGCTGGATGGGTGTCAGCGAGAGAACTGCCCTGAGGGCGGGTCCAGCGCGTACGTTTTCCGTAGAATACAGTTCATCCAGTGCGATAATCTGTCTTGCGTCACGGTTCAAAACGGTGCAAATTCAAAACCATTGTGCACCGCTTGATATCTTTTCAAACCACTACGAATGAACTGTAAAGGACCTGTAAACGTACGCGCTGGACCCGCCCTGAAATATCGGGTCGCAAGGTGAGTGATGCTGCGAACTTGGAGCGATCCGTGCGACGTGGAGGTGCGGGGAAATCGAGGTGAGCGACAAAGAGGATAGCGTCGCTATCCCAAACCGAGGATAGCGATACAGATGATTTGGGGCAAGCGAAGACCTTGGGAAATGGATCCACCAGTCGCACGTTGCCCTTGGGGGTTCTGCGGGAGGACGACTCGATGACGCGGCACGACACGCAAGCGAGTTTCTGATCACTGGTCGCACGGGCCCAGCTGGCGCCGCATACGACTCTCTGAAGAGAGGTCGCGAAGATTCACGTGGCCCAATAGAACGACCCCAACAACTGAGTCGCGAAGCTCGAGGTGTAAGGACCAATTGGCGGCGCTGCAGTGTCAGCTTTCTCCTCGGTCGAAGGGATTGCCCCACCCGAACTGTCGTTTGGCCACGAAAAAAGTGGAATGACGTGGCCACCAGAACAGGATGAGGCATAAGCGAGGCCGACCACAACCAGCATGATTCGTTAGTACACATACTAGCACAGCTTTTGCACCACTCCTTAAGGTGAGAACACAATACGGTAGTAACCACCATATACTACCGTACTACATTTGTCATTATCGCTAGTGCTCCTCGTATGATCGTCCTGCTGTGCAACTGAAGAAAAGCTCCTCCTCTGTATGAAAAAGGGATCAACAAACACTACCTACCGAAGCCACATGTGGGATCAATTAAACAAAATTCTTGGTGCTGGCCGGTGAATCAATGCTACCGACAAATGCAGATATTTACAATATATATTCAACTACCATTTCCACCCATCCCATTCCATCAAACAATCCATTCAGTAAATAAAGACAGACCTAGCAACAATGTTTTTCACAGCCAAAGGCCCCCTGCAAAACACCATCAGTGCCAGGCTCAAGTCAGGCTACCATCACCACAAAGGCCAGTGCAAGCTGCAGCTATCAGAGCCAAGGATACACCATGTGTAAAGCAATTCCAATGTACGAACACATACCATGTGTGAGAATCGAAGCTGTTGTTGCGATTGTCGCCCATGACGAAGACGTGGCCAGATGGAATGTACTGCACATATCAGACCAGGCAAGGAGATAAAAAAGTTGAGTAAAGAAACATGCAGCAAAACAACGGAACAATTTCAAATGATACCAGGTATGGACAATTCCGGCACCCAAGGCAAACCCTGTACACAACCCAAACAGCAACTGTTGACGGAAATACCTGGGTCTCCATGTGGTAGGTAGGCTGTTCCAATATGTAATCCTCGTCCTTCTCAACGCCATTCACGAACAGCTGCCCCCCCCTCACCTCCACCAAGTCTCCTTCAGTGGCAACAATTCGCTTCACAAACACCTCTCCCTCACTGTAGCCATGCTTCTGCGCGTTTCAACAACGCACATGGCACACATAAAATAGTGTAACAATGCGAGTTTCAGATACAGTGAGCAACAGGGACGGCGAGCACCAATGAGACATCGTCAAGAGGGAGAAGAATACTAGGGGAGTCAGAGAGGAAAACTTATCTACCTTCAGGGCCTTGGGCGCCTTGAAGATGACCACATCGTCGACCTCAGGCTTCCTGAAATAGTATGAAACCTGCTCATTGATGGGGGAAGGGGAGTCGATGCCAGATTAATCGCTGTATAAATTAACTCGTGAACACGAATTGCACGATATGTTTGAAAAAAACCGAAACAGGTTGGCTTACCTTTTCTGCGACGATTCGGTCCCCCACGTCAAGCGTGGGGTACATGGAGAGCGACGGAATGAACCGCAGTTCGGCGACGAAGCGAAAGATCAGGGACATCGCAAGCGTCGCCAACACCGCTTTGGCCTCCTCCGCCGACAGCGGAAGCCACTCGGGTAACCACATAAATTGCCGACTGGCAACCGAATTCTTCGCCGACTCCTTCAAGCCTGCGAAGTCAAGGCTGTTGGTAACCTGGCTGTCGTAATATCGCACTTCGCTGGACAGCGAAGCCGCCTCAGAAGCCCGAACAGGCCCACAGGACTCCAAAGCGGCTTTTCCGTTCAACGAGGAGCACAGAAACGCCCTAGCCTGCCAGATGTTACCCCAGAAATTGCTGCCAGAATTCTTGATTCCATTTATTTCATTGACTCCGCCTTCATTGCTGTATGATACACTTGCACTCCCTTGTGCTCCTTTTCTCATGGCTGACGCGCGAAGACCCATCGTGGCTACCTCTCCCTCCTTACGGCAGGAGAGGTGAACCCGAATAGATTTCGCCACGAAAGCTTGGAGGCACGGAGCGTTAGAAAATGCAAATTTCCGCGACTTCGACGAATTGATACCACCAGCCCCTTCCGACGACAACGAAACCCCTCCCACAGACAACCGCTGCATGCAACACGAGAGACCCGTAGAACCAGCCGCAAAACCGGCCATTGCAGCCATGGTAAGACGCCTTGCCAGCAGCTGCAACAATACGCTGCGTGCACACAGCACCAGCACCCCACAAATGACTGTTATGCCATCTTCATTTTCCCACGAGATACCATCCTCCTCATATATAAAGAGGAGGTAGAAGCTAAGCACACCAATACATATCGCCCTGAAACGGTGTAGGTAACAAGCTGTGAGAGCTTTACTCGCCAACGCTTGGGCCTGTCAGGCCCAGAACTCGTGAAAAACGCCTTACGCCTCTTCGCCCTTTTCCTAACAAACCTAATCAACACTAAGAAAATGACGTTCCTAACTCAAAATTGAAACCCTAGTCTGGCTCTCTCTGGTTGATATGCCCTCAACCAGTCCAGGTCCTCCCAACTCCTGCTGTTGCTGGTGCATTCGACCATTCTCTTGCGGAACAGCGCCGCTGCTGCAGCGGAAGTTGGTGGGGGAGGTGGAAAGACGGTTTGAGGGGAAGGATGGCGCAGAAAGGAGGGTGAAGTTGCGGGGAGCGGAGCGAGTGCCGCTGTGGGCGGAAAAATGGCGGAGTTTCCCGATCTGCTCGACGTGCCGGAGAGAACGTTTTTATGCCTGGGTTATCGGAAATGATCCGACGGTCTGACAGCCACATGTAACATCTGACGGTCTAGATGTGTGCCCGGATCCACCTGATTCACCCGAAATTATGCCCCGTTGGTCAGGAGGGGGGACGCGCGAATGCGCGGAACCTGCAGAACATGGCGATCTCGTTTCTGTACACAGCTAGTGAAAGTCCATCCGGTCGTGCCTGTCTTGCCAGCGCGACAAAGGTTTGTGCTGCACATTGTTTCATGAAGGTTGTATTTCCTTTCCGACCGACAAAGCGGTGTGTTCCGCTGCAAAGTCGAAACGGAGATGGAGCATCTTAGCGCGTACAGTCAGTATACACCAGACCCCAAAATCGAACTTCTCGCCCAGTCATCAGGTGGTAACGCGCCCGCTAACTTTCTCGTGCTATGCGAGGGAAAACCAAACAAAATTCGTGAGCCTCGCGGAGTAGCCGTTCCTTTGGCAAGCATCCATCATCTCTCGCTGCTCGCTTCGCTATTGCTGACACTTTTTCGCAGCAGGCAGCAGCAGCAAATGACAAAATCCAAATTCCCCCTCCACGCAGACTGCGCAAAACCAAGCCTTCCGAAGCGCAGAACTTGTCAGCCCTTCATGCGGCTCGGGGCTCAAATTTCAGAGCCAAAAGCGAAAATGTAGCATGGCCGGACCACCCCACTGCTGCACTCAACAGCGGGTAGGCACCCCGTTCATGAGATGAGCACTCACTGCAAAGCAAATGATGGGACCAACACCTGCAATCGGTATTCAACACCTGCAACCCTGGCATTGACGCCATTGTCTGGAGAAGCAAATTATTTAGTCAACGACCAGGCACTTCTACGTGAGACACATTTTGCGCCAAATCGGCTGCCAATATATTGGACTAACTCGGTTAGGATATCCTTTGCAAGCAAATTTCAGAACAAGGGGGAATACAAGCGCCTGTTGGCAGGATAACAACGCAATTCGCCATGGATAGAGAACGAATCGCCTTGTCTGCTTCCTCTCTCTCCCTCATCGCCCTCATGACTACTCTTCCCGTCATCCTCGCTAACAACTGCCCCAATTTTGCGAACGAACGATCAGCATGCACGCAAGACACGTGCGGACGATACGTCTACAAGGGAAAGTTCACCGTGCAAGGCACGAAGCAGTATCGCCTCGCCGCCGCACCTAACGGCGTGAATCTCGGCCCTAACACAACTCCGGGCGACTGTTGCCAACAATGCCGGAGTAACGGCGACTGCGCGTACTGGAACCTTCTCCTGCCCTCTGGTCTCTGCCTTCTCTTTACCGAAGGAGCTTGTAGCGGGGACGCGCATGTCTACGTTCCCGGTTTACCCAACTCATAGTGAGTATACGCTCTCATGGTTTGCCGACACAACCATGGCAGATGCACATGTCTACGTTCCACGCTTGTTCACTTTCTCCTTGTAGAGGGCATTGTGTTGTTTCGTTTATCCCTTCCTCCCTGGTGCTTCCTTCTTCTGCTAACCTCATCCTCCTGTCAATGTCCTATTTTGCGGTATCTTTTCACTTTCTCTTGCTCTACCCTGTCCAGTGTGGGTGGCCGTTGCAATTCTGAAGCCAAACTCGCCAGAACCGCCGCAAGTGCCGTCAAATGGGCCGTGGGACCCGCGCTTTACCACTCCAAAATCGGCGCGGCTCCCGCCGGACCAGTAGCTCACGAGAAATTGTCGGACCGCGCGTTCTGCCTGATAAGCGACCCGTCGTTTCACATCAACATGCAACTGTCAGGCTACATGGATAACCGCGGCGCCACCGCTTCGACCCCCTCCGCATTTGGTGGTAACTCGCGGACTCAACGACCGGCCGTTGTTCGCGCGTGGATTCGTGAAGTTTCGCTAATGTGGGGGCGAGGGGGTCCCGGACAAGCTCAGCACGTGCTGCGAATGGCTGCAAGAAGGACAGCGCAGCAGGAGCGGGGCGACGGATACGTTGCGACCATAGAAGTGGACGGGCATCCTATGCCGAAGCTAGTGGTGAGTGCACGAAGCGCCTAGGGAGTTGCCGCCATGCTATGCCGAAGCTAGTGGTAATATAGCCCTTCTGTTATCTACCAGAAGGAGTTGCGGGTTCGGGGGGTTGAATGCTTGTCGGGGCTCTTCTTTCCTGTATGCTATCCGCTTATTCCTTCCTTCGCCATGCCGTTCCGTCACGTCTATCCGCCGCTTCCGTATCTCACTCCCGTGCTTGACGGCTGTAACGTCTGAACAGTTGGGAGACGAGCTCTCTTTATTTGACGGCGCTGCGACGATTCTCCTAGCAGCATACGAGAAGCAAGGACCGTACGACGTGGACGTGTACGCGATAAAAGTACCGGGTGTGATTGAAGCGGAGGTTCGTGTTCGCCGGGTGCACCCTCTGTTACAAGAACCAGATGACGCTGAGGCACACATCAACCTGGCTATCCTCGATGTAGCGTACTCCCCTACAGTGCACGGGCTCTTGGGTCAATTCTACCGAGCCAACGCCACGTCAGAACCCACCCTAAACTACTCTATTCTGTCACACCTGATGGCCATGCCGTTGGTTCCCTCCGAATCTTCCTCCGAAGGGGAACTCGAAGGTGTACCAGAAGATTACGTCACCTCCTCCCTCCTTGCTCCTGACTGCGAATTTACTCAATTCTCGCTCTTTTCCAAGAAGACGACCAGCAACGGCGACGCTGATCTCAGTAACAGTGGGAGCAACAACGCTGGCACTGACAGCAGCAGCAGTAGCAGAATGACCGAAACCACCAGCAGTGAGATTATCATCCGAGGTGAGGGTGATGATCTAGAAGCAGATTATTCAGGTGTTCAGGTAGAAGACACTGCGGCCGAGGCAGCTGAAATGGCTCTAGGGGAAGCTGACATGACTGAATCGATCCTGTCAAAAGCAGCTGAAATGGCTAACCAAGTTGCTGACGCTGCTGCTGCCGTGAATTCCGAAGAGACTACTCTCAAGCTCTCTCAAGTGGGGCCAGCAGATAATGAGCAAAGAACCGCTTTTTGAAGAAAACTGCATTCTCGCTATTTTTTCCAGCATGATCCTACTCGGATTCATATTAGGCTAGTTGTTAGTTAGCTAATAGGTTGTAAACGATTTGTGGCAAGTGTAGTGTAAATGCTGTAAATGTAGAAGAAACAGAATATTCCAGTTTGAAGCAAACCCTAATATCCATGCCTGTGGCAGCAGCAGCAGGGAGGATTTGTTAGAAACAACAGGCATAACACTATCAGAACTCAGTGATCACTGAATTCCCCAGCCGTGTCAACTATTTTACACATGTGAGCAGCTTCTGCTGCACAATCAGCAACAGTACGAAGCGTGCAGATATGTTCTCCCTGAACCCAAGCGGAAAAAGAGAGGTGTTGATAGTGGTAAGCACGAAATAACGTTGCCGAGGAGCCATGTGTACCCGGTTCTCGCGCTTGAGATCTGCTGGCGGAAGGTAGGTGCTACCACCGATGCTGTATGCTCAGGTCAATCGACGATGTCTGGGTCAGCTTCAAGATGCTCCGTGTCCGTGCCTTGTAAGGTGCCGCTGGACATGTGGGACTTCTGCGTTGTAGAGCTGGTGGCGTTGAATAAGACGTGAAACTGTCACAGACACCTGAAAGACATCAAGACGACGAGGATCAGTAAAATTAAATTTCACAATCATTTCTCAATAGCTGTTTAACGGAATAATCTGAACGGAGACGCGCGCTGGCACGTACCATTGGTTGCGCGCGGCTCGCTTTTGTCATCACGCTTCACTCGCTTCAGAGCTTCACTTCTGAAAGGAGAAGCGGAACGGCCAAGCTTCTTGTTAATAAAAACAGGAAAATGCTCTGGAGTGGACGAAAGTGTCGTAAATACTGTCGATCTTGTCCTCTGGGGAGACGCTGGCTCTAAATCAGGCACTTGGCTGATCCCATACCCCTGACATGCCTCTTCAGGCTCGTCTTCAGGTGCAGGGATCCATGGAATCCAAATAGATCCTGCAAACGACATGGCTACCTCGGCTCTAAACGAGTAGTTCAGATGGTTCTTGCTGTGAAATACCACTAATGAGAAGGCCGCTCACCAAAAGACAAGAACGAATAGCAAAACCTGCTTCAGGATGGGCTTCTGTGCTGCTGTTGGTGATGGTCACTGAGTCCCTTCTTATGTACTTCGTGGTCTCGGGTCTGGTAGGAAAGCGAAAACCTTTACAGATTGTAGTCGGTGGTAGGATCGACGGACTTCTGGTGTGATCTATATTTGACGAAAAACCAGAGACAGATTCACGGAAGTCCGTTCTGGTGCTGTTCTGCAGGCAACGGTCTGATCGCATGCAGTTTCAGTGGCTCGTGCACCTTGGGATTGGTTCAAAGCACACAGATCGACGGTTTCAAATCAATCAGCTGATCCGAGTCGAAGGCTTGCGTAGGCAGTGGCTGCTGTTCCCGTTTCTGTCAGTTCCGCCGGCGGCGTGCCTGACATCTCTGCTTTTCCGCAAGCAGGAGACACGCGAGCGGGATTGCGGTGAGGGAGGTGCAGCGAATGGTTGCGGAAGTGTCAACGAGATTTCGCTGCAAAGACCAAATTGCGATTCGCTATTGAATGATTGTATGAGGGATCGAATTGGCTGCTTACTACATGCTCGCCCTTACATTTCAACTTTGTGATTTTTCGCCCTGCCATGTTATCTGTCCCCCGCTACTTTCACATTCCTTTGTCACGACCTCACCGCACTCGACCGTACAGAACGCCCAGACAGAAATATCACCTTGAAGTTGTCCCTGACAAGGCTGCTCGGTGTTGGCGTTCTCGTGCCCAAGATTAGCGATTGTCTCCAGGTCTACGGGTCTCTGATTTTTTCGAGTTCACGTTGCGTTCATTAAATCGCTCCTTCGTCCTTCGGCTTCCCCAACCCATTGAGGACTTTCGCCTTGTTGTTACAAGGCGTAGTTATTCGTAGTGCTAGGCCTGATTAGCGGCTTTAAGCGTAGCTAGGGTTTCACTGAAGCATTTGAAAAATCACAAGGTTATAACGAGCCGGAGCTTGTGTCGTTATAACGCGAGCACTTTTAGACATTAGCCGTTATGAGGAAATTGAAGTATCATGAGCAGCGGCTGCTGCGGAAGGTGAATTTCCTGCAATGGAAGACCGAGAACAACGACAGAGAGCTGGAGGTCATGCGAAGATACCACATCACCGAACGCGACGATTACTCCAAGTAGGGTTACCAGCAAGAGGTTGTGTTACAGGACGCGGGAAGGGGGGCTGAGAAGCTTTGGGATGGGGGTTTGTTGGGGGATGGGGGATGGTGTGGATGGGAGAAAGGCTGTGTTTCGTAAGTTTCCGCAATCGGGTTAAGCCCGGTGTGTGTAAAATAGGTAAACGTTGGAGTTCGCGGGGCGGGGTTTTGAGGCGGGTTGGGGTTTTGGGGGAGCAAGCTAGGGGGAAGAAGAAGGGTGGGGAGCTTGGGGTTGATGTGGGGTTGATTTGCGGAAACATTTACGCGCGTAGAGGTTTTGAGTCAGTCAGATATGGGAGTGAGAGGGTATGGGGGACAGCCAAGTTCATTTATACTTGCGAAGCAGGGTTCTACTGTAACAAAACAAAAGTGGGTGATGTGCTGAGAATGTTCAAAAGAGCATTTTACTGTTCCTGTGCGCTCTCCTGCTTGTGCTGTGGTTGTGCTTGTGGTTGTGCTTGTATCGAGTCTGCAGGTACAACCAGCTATGCATGCGGTAAGATCACAAAGTCGACAACCCTGCTCAAGGAAACTGGGAAATTCATGCTATGTCCGTGCTTGTGTGTGTCTGCGTGTGCGTGTGCGTGTGCTTGTGCTTGTGCTTGTGATTGTGATTGTGCGTGCGTGTGCCTGTGCTTGTATTGAGACTGCAGGTACAACCGGCTGTGCGGTAAAATCACGAAGCTGGCAACGCTGCTCAAGAAACTGGATCCCTCCGACGCATTCCGCATTGAAATGACCGACCAGCTGCTCAACAAACTGTGAGTAGTGCTAGTGCATGCCATTTCCCCTCTGTCCTCCCTTTTTCCCACTTCTCTTCTTTCCCTCCAACCCCTTCCGCATCGAAAGGACTGACGAGCTGCTCAACAAGCTTTGGTAGCGCGTTCCCTTCTTCCTCTGCTCTCCTATTTTTCTCACTCCTCTTATTTCCCCACTTCTTCTCTTCTTTCCCTCCAACCCTTTCGGATCAAAACGACTGACCAGCTGCTTCACAAGCTCTGACAGTCATACCCAATTTTTGCAGGGATTTCTTTAGATAAAAAAAAAAACCCGAAAACTCTAAAAAAATACCCACACAGACAAGCCAGACAGTGCCCCTCTCTTTTTTCTCCCTTCAGTTCTGTCATTATCTTTCCTCTCTTTCTTTTTCCCCCCCACAACACCAGGTGCAGCATGGGAGACTGACACAGGAGAGTCAGACACAATTCTTTCACGGTTCACCTAATGTACTCCCGCTGCTCTCCTAACCCCTTCCCCCTCACTTTCCTCCCCTCCCCCCCCCCCCCACGACAACATGGGAGTCTATACCCACGCAGAAAGGGCAGACAGTTTTTTGTAACCCCTCTTCTCTCCTTTCCGTACCCGACCTCCCTCTGCCCCCACCCCGAAACCCGCCAGTTACAACATGGGAGTCATTCCCACATAGAAAAACCATACCCGTCCCTTAATCCCTCGTATCTCCCTCCCCCCCACACAGCTACAACATGGGAGTCATTCCCACAACGAAAAGCCTCAACCTTTGTGATAAGCTCTCCGTCTCCTCGTTTTGCAGGTAAGCCACTCTTTGCTCTTTTTTTTTGTTTTTTTTTTTTAAGCTATTGAGCTTATTTGATGAGATTGAAAGTGGGCACAAGCTCTATCAAGAAACTATTTATTGATAACTCGTGCTGTCTCAAGAACAAGAACCTTCCTCCCGACCTGCACAAATGAACCTCAGAAGCTGACTTCTGAGTCGACTCAAAAGTCAGCTCGGTATAATGTCACACGGCGTTTTTTTCTGTCCCAAGAACAAGGGCCTTGCTCCCGACCCACACAAATGAGTCTCAGAAAAGGTTTTATCTTTCTGTTGTTTCATCTCTCCCTGTTTTCATCTCTCCCTGGTTTCATCTCTCCCTGGTTTCATCTCTCCCTGGTTTCATCTCTCCTGGGTTTCATCTCTCCCTGGTTTCATCTCTCTCGGGTTTCATCTCTCCCGGGTTTCATCTCTCCCGGGTTTCATGTCTCCCGGGTTTCATGTCTCCCTGGTTTCATCTCTCCCTGGTTTCATCTCTCCCGGGTTTCATCTCTCCCTGGTTTCATCTCTTCCTGGTTTCATCTCTTCCTGGTTTCATCTCCCTCCAGACGAAGGCTAGCAGTGGTGATGGTGCGACTCAAGATGGCAGAACACATGAGAGAAGCAGTTTCGTTCGTGCAACAGGTGGGAAAGATGTGTTTCTCTGGGTCTACAAGGGTATGCCGGGGTGTACAGGGGTGTGCAGGTGTGCAGGTGTGCAGGTGCACAGGTGTGCAGGTTTACAGGTGTGCAGGTGTGTGGGTGTGTGTCTGGGTGTCCCTAGGTGTGCTCACTGCAGGCTAGCAGTGGTGATGGTGCAAATCAGGATCGCGGAACACATAAGAGAAGCAGTTTCGTTCGTGCAGCAGGTGGGGAGGGGTTGGGTGTGGCTGAGCAGGTCTGTTCAGGTGTGGGTGTGTTAGGCGTGGTTATGTGTGTGAAGGGGTGTGTTCACAGACTCACAGCAGGCTAGCAGTGGTGATGGTGCGACTGAAGATGGCAGAGCACATGGCATTCGTGCAGCAGGTGGGTGGGTGGGTGTGTGTAGGTGTGGGTAATATGTGTGTAGGTGTGGGTAATATGTGTGTAGGTTTGGGTAATATGTGTGTAGGTGTGGGTAATATGTGTGTAGGTGTGGGTAATATGTGTGTAGGTGTGGGTAATATGTGTGCAGGTGCATGGAGGACAGGCTGACGTGGGTGATCTGATCCCCTTTTTCCTTTCTCCCCTTTCTCGCGTCCCCTCTTAATGTTTCCCACAGGGCCATGTGCGCATCGGCCCAGAAGCCGAGAGGGACCCGGCGTTTCTGGTGACAAGAGCAATGGAGGACACGCTGACGTGTCTGATCCCTTATTATTCCCGTCTCCCCCCTTCTCGCATTCCCTCATGCTCCCCCCAGGGCCATGTGCGCATTGGTCCGGAAGCTGTGAGGGACCCGGCGTTTCTGGTGACAAGAGCAATGGAGGACATGCTGACATGGGTGGACACGAGCAAGATCAAGCACAAGGTTCTACAGTACAACGATAAGGTTGACGACTATGATTTACTCAATTAGATTAGATGTTGTTTGTAACATATCATGTACCGTAGATGTGAGAGCAACGGAGGACATGCTAACGTGGGTGGATATGAGCAGATCAAGCACAAGGCAAGGCTCTACAGTAGAACGACGAACTCGACGACTAAAAGATTTCCTCAACTGAGTGTCAGACAATCGGTTACATGCAATAGAAGCTTGTTAATACCGTACCATTTGTTATGTAGAGCTAACGCAGCTGTGAGAGAATGAACTGAAATCCCAGCACGAAGGAATGGCTTCCTTCGTCCGGATGGGCCTGGAATCCAGACTTCTATAGAGTTATGAACCCACTCTCTCACTGAATTACGAACAACTCCATTACAGGATGTTCCACGGCTGTGTTCAGTTGGCAGATGAGTACAGGTAATCCATCAAGGACACACATTTCTAACTTTACTGGACGTGCAATCAGAGAGCAGCCCATCACATGGCACATCATCTTTCCAGACAGGTACCTGCGGAAAACAAACAAACATAAACAATAGTTTCTTTCAGGAGCCACCCGGGTTTGAACCGGGGACCTATCGATCTGCAGTCGATTGCTCTACCACTGAGCTATAGCTCCACGTTGAGAAGGAAAACATGTTTATATTGATTCATTAACAAAAAACTCTCTCCACACCAAATTTCTGCTTCTGCTCCTCACAACCATGGCGCATCAGCTTCGGCGATCCGACCGGCTGCTGGCCGTCCGATCCGCCGCTTGCATCTTCCTCCGAATCCCCTTGCCTTCCGGCATCTCCCCCGCGGCGCCCGCAGTTCCACCCCATTCTCTCCACGCCCTTCACTGGGTCGTACGCGAACTTTGCCACGTGGAAGGCAGCGGGCAGGCCAGATTGATCCAATCCCGTCCCGTCCAATGGGGTGTCGACAGGTGTCGCCCTATTCCGACACCCCCCTCCTCCGCGTTTGCGCCATTCCGCCGTTTGATCCCTGATCCGCGTGCGCCTGCGGGTAGCAAGCGCAGTTTTTCCGCCGCCACATCTCCCCCGATCCCGCCGAACTCCGCTCCGAGCGTTGGCGGAAGCATTGGCAGAAGTACTGGCGGAGCGGGCGGGCGGAAGGGCGGGCGGGGATTGGTGGGCGTGATCACGGCTGCCGCCATAGCGGGCGCGGCGGGAGGAGCGTATTATTGGTGGGAGACAGAAGCAGCGAGATTCGGACCCGGTCCCGTTATAATCACACCCGATACGAAAGTTGGCTCGGAAGAAGAAGTTAGTATATCGAGTCCCGCGGCAGACTTGGGGACTGGGGGAGGGAGGGCTGGAGACACCATAACGGAGCAGAGGGGCATAGAGGAGGGTAAGGAGGGGGAAGGAAATGAGGGGAAGGATGGGGGCGGAGAGGAGGGGAAGGATGGGGGAGTAGAAATTGAAAGGGAGGAGAGAGAAGAGGAGGGGAAGGAGGAAGCGGGAGGCGGAAGGAGGGAGGGAGAGGATGAAGTGAGAGAGGAGGGAAGTGGGAATGGGTCAGAAGGTTCAGTAAAGGGGGAGATTGGTGGGGTGGAGGAGGAGGATAATAAGGAGGTAGATGAGGAGGAGGTAAAGCGAAGGAAAAAGGAGGAGAAGAGGAGGAAGAAGGAATTGAAGAAGGAAAAGGAGGAGAGGAAGGCGAAGGAGGGGAAGGAGGGAGAGGAGGGAGAGGAGGATGAGAAGGGAGGAGAGGAAGGTAAGGATGATGGTGGGGATGAGGAAAAGAAGAGGAAGAAGGAAGAGAAAAAACGTATCAAGAAGTTGAAAAAGGAGGAAGAGAAAAAGAAGGGAGAAGCAGAGGAGAATGGGGAGGGGAAGGAGGAGGAGGAAAGAAAGGTGTCGAAAGAAGAGAGGAAACGACTTAAGAAGCTAAAGAAGAAGGAGGAGAAGGAAGAAATGAAGAGGAAGAAAGAAGGGAAAAGTAAGAGGGAAGGGGAGGAGAAGGGGAACGAGGAAGCGGAGGAGGAGAAGGAAGGAGAAAAGGGAGACGTACGGAAAGAGAGCGAAGATCACAGTAAGGCGCAGGGAGCAGCTGACGTGGCTGCTGACGTGGCCGCTGACGTGGCTGCTGACGTGTCGGTGGGCGTGGCAGCTGAGGTGGTGAGGATCGAGTCAGCGGCAAGGAAGGCGGAGGCGGAGAGGGGGAGGAGGGAGAGGGAGCGACAGCTGGCATCGATGCAGGTGAGAGGAGGGAGGGAGGAACGGGGAAATTTAAACTGGTTAGAGGGAATGTGGGAATGAGTGGAGGGAGATGGAGCGACAGCTGGCAGCGATGCAGGTGAGAGAGAGGAGGGAGAGGAGGGAGGGAGAGAGGGAGGGAGGGAGGGAGGGAGGGAGGGAGGGAGGGAGGGAGGGAGGGAGGGAGGGAGGGAGGGAGGGAGGGAGGAAGGGAGGGAGGGAGGGAGAAGAGGGAGGGAGGGAAGGAGAGAGCGAGGGAGGGAGGGAGTTTAAATGGTTTAAGAGGGAGTGAGAGCTGTCAGCAATGCAGGTGAGTGAGAGGGAGGGATTTGCTACTAGAGGGTTCCTAGACTATCCATTATTCACTATCCCCTATCCACTTGGTATCCGCTATTTGGTATCGGCTATTTGGTATCGGCTATTTGGTATCGGCTATTTGGTATCCGCTATTTGGTTTCCGCTATTTGGTATTTCCTATTTGGTAACCGCTTTTTGGTAACCGCTATTTGGTATCCGCTATCCGCTATACACTATCCACTCTTTATGTATACACCAACCCTACGTCTCTTCTCGCCTGCCCTTTCTTTCCTCTCCACCTTCTTTTGTGAATGACACCCCCTCCGCTCTCCCCCCCCTTCCTCCCCCAACGGCTGCCCTCTCGGCAGCCTTCTCGCCTGCCCTTTCTTTCCACTCTACCTTCTTTTGTGAATGACACCCCCTCCGCCTTTTTTGAAGAAGTGTTTTGAGACGTCTCAAAACACTTCTTCAAACACTTCTGTGAATGAGACGTCTCAAAACACTTCTTCAAACACTTCTGTGAATGAGACGTCTCAAAACACTTCTTCAAACACTTCTGTGAATGAGACGTCTCAAAACACTTCTTCAAACACGTGAATGACACCCCCTCCGCCCTCCTCCCCCTTCCTCCCCCAACGCCCTCCTCCCTCCCCCCTCACGCACAGAGTGTCCACGTGGCAGAACAGGATTCGCTGGCAGCGGCGGTGCGAGAGAGGGAGAGGGAGGGGGAGGTGGAGCGGGAACGGATTGAGCAGCAGAGGGAGGAGATGGGGAGGGAGTTGGAGGAATGGAAGGAGGGGGAGGCGAGGAGACAGCAAGAGGAAGAAGAGGAGATGGTGAGTGAGGAATAGGCACAAGCATGGAAGGGGTAAGGGGGCTTGGATAACCTGTGGGGGGATGGACAGCAGAGGGAGGAGGGGAGATGGTGAGTGATGGGGGGCACAAGCATCAAAGTGAGGGGAGTAGGTGGTAAGCTTGGGGGTAGGAGACAAGTAGAAAGGGTTGCAGACAAAATCGAAACAGTGTGGGGAAAGGGTTGCAGACAAAATCGAAACAGTGTGGGGAAAGGGTTGCAGACAAAATCGAAACAGTGTGGGGAAAGGAGAGGCAGGCAGGCAGATTGTTCCAGGCCATATCCGCCCTCCTTGCAGGAGGCCATATCCACCCTGCAAGCAGTGCTGCAGAGTTGACTTATGAGTCGACTCAAAAGTAAAATCGAAACAGTGTGGGGAAAGGAGAGACAGCAGATTGTTCCAGGCCATATCCACCCTGCAGTGTGGGGGCGGGTATGGCCCTTGCAGGAGGCCATATCCGCCCTGCAAGCAGTGCTGCAGCAGCAGCTGGTGGCAGTGGCAGCAGCAGACGCAGGTTCAACCCATTTACCCCTCTTCTCCTCCACTGCTTTGCTTCTACCCGTCTCTTCCTCTCCATCCGCCCGTCCCTCCCTCCAGGCCATATCCACCCTGCAAGCAGTGCTGCAGCAGCAGCTGGTGGCAGTGGCAGCAGCAGACGCAGGTTCAACCCATTTACCCCTCTTCTCCTCCACTGCTTTGCTTCTACCCGTCTCTTCCTCTCCATCCGCCCGTCCCTCCCTCCAGGCCATATCCACCCTGCAAGCAGTGCTGCAGCAGCAGCTGGCGGCAGCGACAGCAGCAGACGCAGGTTCAACCCCTTTACCCCTCTTCTCCTCCACTCCTTTGCTTCTACCCGTCTCTTCCTCTCCATCCGCCCGTCCCTCCCTCCAGGCCATATCCACCCTGCAAGCAGTGCTGCTGCAGCAACTGGCGGCAGCGACAGCAGCAGAGACAGAGGCGAAGGAAGCAGCAGAGGCACATGGGGAGCAGACAGAGCTACTGAAAGTGGAGGTGAGGACAAGGGTGGGGGAGGGCGGGATAAGGAGCTAGGGAGGGGGGGCAGCAGCAGAGGCAGAGGAGTTGGGGACAGCAGATGTATATGGGGAGCAGACAGAACTACTGAAAGAGGAGGTGAGTGCATAGAAGGGCGAAGGGAGGGAGAGGATGAGTGATGGGATGAGCGGCTGTTAGGAAGGATGGCTCCGTGGCAGCAACAGAGGCAGAGGCGAAGGGGACAGCAGAGGCACATGGGGAGCAGACAGAACTAGTGAAAGAGGAGGTGAGTGCATAGAAGGGCGGGGAGATGAAGAAGGGATAAGCTCTTAAAAGGGAGAGATGACTTTTGAGTCGACTCAAAATTCACCTCATTACAATGGGAGATGAGGAAGCGATAAGCTCTTAGGAGGGAGAGCAGCTGGAGAGGCACAGAGAAGCAGGCGTCAAGGGGACACGAGGAGCAGATGGAATGGAACTGGTAAAAGGGGAGGTGAGGATAGCAGAAGGTGTTGTGTGGGGAGTAAAGCACGTGTGTCTCTTTGTTCCCTTGTGAGAATTCTCACAAAAGATTTCCCTCTCCTCGTGTAAACCAAAGTGTTTTGAGACGTCTCAGAATTCTCACAAAATATTTCCCTCTCCTGTTTCTGTTGAAATTCATTGGATTCGAAACTTAGCAAGCCTGCTGTTTCTTCCCCTCTGAGTGTCTTTCTGTGCATCTCTGAGTCGACTCAAAAGTCACCTCGCGTGTGTGTCTTTGTTCCCTCTCCTGTTTCTTCCCTTCTGTGTGTCTTTTTTGTGGATCTCTACAGACTTTCTTCTCTGTAGGATGTTTCCTTCCATTGAGCTCAGTCTGTCTTGAGCAAAGCGAGTCTCGCTAATCTCTCCGTGCCTCTGTATCTCTCCGTGCGTATTTGTGTGCGTGTTGTATGCATGTGTGTATGTATGTCCATTTCTGCAGATCTCTGCTCTGAAGGATGTTTTCTTCCATCGATCTCAGGAGGACAGGCTGTCCTGGCATGCGCACCGAGTCGCTCTGGTGAGTTGCAGTGCGGTGCAGAGCGGTGTGATAGAGAAAGGTGTGTATTGGTGTGTGTGCATCTCTGCAGATCTCTGCTCTGAGGGGTGTCTTTTTCGAACCAGCACAGGAGGAAAGGCTGTCCTGGCATGTGCACAGAGTGGCTTTGGTGAGATGCAGTGCGGTGTGATGCGGTGCATTGCAGTGGGGCGCAATGCTGTGGATAATAAGGGTTGTTTAAATTCTGTGGTACAATAAGGTGTTGGCACTGTGCAGTCTGGTGGGTTCCACTGTCTACAGGAGGACAAAATGCTCAGTTTTTTAGGCGCCTCAGCAGTGGTACAATAAGGTGTTGGCACTGTGCGGTCTAGTGAGCTCCACTGGCACTGACCACAGGATGCAGGAGGACAGGCTGTTCTGGCTGATGCACACAGAGTGGCTCTGGTGCGGTGCTGAGTGGTGCAATGCGGTGCGATGGTAGGGGTTTTCGAGTCATATGCCGTGAATGTGTTGGCACTGAGCGGTCTGGTGAGTTCCACTGTCCACAGGAGGACAGGCTGTTCTGGCTGGGATGCACACAGAGTGGCTCTGGTGAGATGCGGTGTGGTGCTGAGTGGTGCGGTGAGAATTTGAGGGTGTGAAAATGTGCTTTTGAACCATTACTTGCATCCAATCCTCTCATCTCCCCCCTCCTCCACTTCCATTGACTTTCCCCATTTACCTTCCTTCCCCCTCCCTTCCCGCTCCTCCCCTCCACCCCCCCCCCCTTTTCCAGGCGGCCATATCGCTCCAAGAAGCAGCAGGCAGCAACCAGCCCCTGTATCCAATCCTCTCCTCCCCCCTCCACTCCCACCCCTCTCACTTTAATTGACTTTCCGCATCTACCTTCCCTCCCTGTCCGCTCTCCTCCACACCCTCTTCCAGGCTGCCATGTCTTTCCAAGAAGCAGCAGACAGCCACCAGCCTCTGCAGCCGATTCTGTCATCCCTCCTCCTCCACCCCGCCTCCTCCTCCCTCACTCCCCCTCCCCTCGCCAAAGTCACATCCTCTCAATCACACCTTCAACCTCCACACTTACAGTCACAATCCGGATCAGATTCAGATTCAGATTCAGAATTAGGATCGCAATCCCAATCGCAGCCATCCCAGGACCCTCTCGTCTCATCCCTCCTGCCACGTGGCGACGACCCATTGGTCGCTGCGATCGCAGCCACCCTGCCCAAATCCGCGCTGGCCAATGGCGTGCTGACACGTCAGCAGCTGCAGGAAAGGCTGGAGGGGATGAGGGCGAGGGTGTGCCAGCTGGCGATGCTGCCGCCGGCCAATGGGGGGGAGAGGGAGGACGTGGGAGGGGAATCGGGAGGAGGAAAAGGAGGGAGAGGAGGAGGGGAGTTGGTTGAGCCAGGCCTATTGTCGCAGGCGGTGGCAGCAGTTGCAGTCGCTCTAAAGGTAAAGCACTTGGGGTTTTAAGTATCACGGCTTTGAGACAATATGGAGGAGGGGAGTTTGTTGAGCCAGGCCTATTGTCGCAGGCGGTGGCAGCAGTTGCAGTTGCTCTCAAGGTAACAAAAACTGCCACTAGGTGAGTTATGAGTTTCAATGTTCTGTGACAGCAGAAGAAGGCGAGGAGGAGGGGAGTTTGTTGAGCCAGGCCTATTGTCGCGGGCGGTGGCAGCAGTTGCAGTTGCTCTCAAGGTAACAAAAACTGCCACTAGGTGAGTTATGAGTTTCAATGTTCTGTGACAGCAGAAGAAGGCGAGGAGGAGGGGAGTTTGTTGAGCCAGGCCTATTGTCGCAGGCGGTCTCAGCAGTTGCAGTAGCTCTTAAGGTAAAGGCGGAATGACCTGGTAAACTTGTTTTGAGGCGCCTCAAAACAAAGGTAAAGGCAGAATGACCTGGTGTATACACATTGGCTTGACTGGGAAACTTGAGAGTTGTTCGAAATTTACATTGTCGTCTTCTTTTTTTTTGTTTCTCCCCCACACCAGTTCCCAGTACACAGCACAGCAGCGAGTGATGAGACGATTTTTTAGTCGACTCAAAAATCGTCTCCCCATACCAGGTCCCAGTACCCAGTACCCAGCACAGCAGCGAAAGCGCTGAGCCTTGAGCGAGCCCTGGTAGATGCGACTACTCGCGTGGTGGAGGGGCGGCTGGAGGAGGCAGCAGGGGCGATGACAGTCTGTTCTGACACAACCTTATTATCCGTCTCATTCTCCTCCTTCCTTTCCGTCCTTCCTTCTCCCCACAACAGCTGCCAGTACCACAAAAACATAACCGAGCCCTGAGCAAGCTGTTGCTGAAGCAGCTGCTCTGCTGGTGGAGGGGCGACTGGAGGAGGCAGCAGGGGCGATGGCAGTCTGATTCATCCTCATTGCCCCTCCCTTTTCCATCCATCCTTCTTCCCACTACAGTTCCCAGTTCCAACCACACCAGGGGAAGCACCGAGCCCTGAGCAAGCACTATCAGAGGCAACCACTCTGTTGGTGGAGGGGCGATTGGAGGAGGCAGCAGGGGCGATGGAGAGGGGGGTGAAGGGGACACGGGCGGAGGGAGTGGTGAGGCAGTGGGGGGAGGAGGTGAGGGGAAGGGCGGCAGTGGAGCAGGCGGTTAGGGTGATGCAGGCGCATGCAGGGTGCATGGCAGCAGAGCTTCGTAGGTGACATGTGTGCGGTGCAGTTTAGTGCGGTTCAGTGTGATGCGTAGTGATTCCGTGAAGCTCAGGGAAGTTTGAGAGCAGGAGAGGAGGTGAGGGAAGGGCGGCAGTGGAGCAGGCGGTCAGGGTGATGCAGGCGCATGCAGGGTGCATGGCAGCAGAGCTTCGTAGGTGACATGTGTGCGGTGCAGTTTAGTGCGGTTCAGTGTGATGCGTAGTGATTCCGCGAAGCTCAGGGCAGTGTGAGAGCAGGAGAGGAGGTGAGGGAAGGGCGGCAGTGGAGCAGGCGGTTAGGGTGATGCAGGCGCATGCAGGGTGCATGGCGGCAGAGCTTCAAAGGTAACATGCGTACAGTTCGGTGCGGTACAGTTTGGTCCAGTGCGTGTTGGTCCGCTTCAATGTGGTTCAGCGAGAGTCAGTGCGGTTGTGAGTGGTGCGGTTGGAGGGAGTGGTGACGCAGTGGGGGGAGGAGGTGAGGGGAAGGGCAGCAGTGGAACAGGCAGTGAAGGTGATGCAGGCGCATGCAGGGTGCATGGCAGCAGAGCTTCGTAGGTGATAAGCTGTGGTTCAATGCGGCTCAGTGTTGTTTCGTGCAATTCGGTGAAGCTCATATTAATGCAGTGCGGTTTCGAGCCTTACTGTTGAAGATAGCAGGAGAAGTGGTACAGGAGGGGAACGAAAGCAGGGGAAGGGGGGAGGGAGGAAGGGGAGGGAGGGAGGAGGGAGGGGAGGGGGGGGAGGGGAGGGTGCGGGGGTGGAACATGCGTTGAGGGTGATGCAGGCGCATGCCGGCGGCTACATGTCAGCAGATAGAGTTTCATTTTTCATACTATATTCACCAGGATAGAAGACCCGGGAGTTTCATAGGTGGAGGTTGTGCAACTGCGTGCATGTGGGTGGGTCCAGTTGGGTGTGCTTAGACGGGTGCGATTGTGTGCGGCTCAGGATGGGGGATGTGTGGTTTGTGAAGCTCTTGCGCTGGTCTGGCTGGTACACTTTCGCTACGGCTGATGAATTTATTCTTCTTACATGTATTTGTCAGAACATATAGCTTACTTATTTGTGTAGGCTATAGTGGGGTATCCCATAGGGGGTATAACCCAATTAGGATTTCCTATTTGTACTCACTTCGTTCATACTCATTTCATTCTCGTTCAATTCTTCTCATGGAATCAGAGCAGGTCCCCTCCTAGGGACTGTTCCTAGGGCCCACCGAAGCGCGCCCCGAGGCGCGCGTTCTTTTTTTTTAGCGACCCTGCGTGTTGCCCCTACCGTCGCGCTCCCGCCGCTCCCTCCTCTTACGGCCGCCCGCCCTAGTGCCCTGACGGCCGCTCGCCCTAGCGCCCGAGCGCCAACCGCCCTAGCGCCCTGACGGCCGCCCGCCCTAGCGCCCTGACGGCCGCCCGCCCCAGCGCCCGAGCGCCGCCCGCCCTAGCGCCCGAGCGCCGCCCGCCCTAGCGCCCGAGCGCCGCCCGCCCTAGAGCCCTGACGGCCGCCCGCCCTAGCGCCCGAGCGCCGCTCGCCCTAGCGCCCTGACGGCCGCCCGCCCTAGCGCCCGTGCGCCACTCGTCCTAGCGCCCTAACGGCCGCCCGCCCTAGCGCCCGACCGCAGCCCGCCCTAGCGCCCTGACGGCCGCCCGCCCTAGCGCCCTGACGGCCGGCCGCCCGCCCTAGCGCCCGAGCGCCGACCGCCCTTTCGCCCTTACGGCCGCCCGCCCGAACGCCTGAGCGCTGCCCGTCGTCGCCCCAACGCCCTAGCGCCCGACGCCCGCGAGCCGCCCGTCGCAGCCGCCCGTGAGCTCCCTGAGCCGCCCGCGCCGCCGTCCCTGAGCCGCCTGTGCAGCCGCCCGCGAGCCGCCAGCGAGCCGCCCGTCGCGACACCAGCGCCGCACGAGCCGCCCGTCCAGCCGAGCAGCCCGAGCCGCCCGAGCCGCCCGCGCCGCCCCAGCAACCCGAGCCGCCCGAGCCGCCCGAGCCGCCCGAGCCGCCCGAGCCGCCCGAGCCGCCCGCGCCACCCCAGCAACCCGAGCCGCCCGAGCCGTGCCGCTGTTCCTGAGCTGTGTTCCTCTGCTGCTGACCTACCCGACTCTCCCAGCCCGGTGAGACTTTCAGCTGCTGCCATGGCCACCCCCAATGTTCTTACTTTTGACGCTGAGGGGAGGGCCATTGACTTTGCCGTCTGGATTGAAGACCTGCAGCTGTACTTACTGTGTGATGCGATAGATGAGGTCTCTCTCTTTGACTTTGTCTCTGGCGCTGTCCCTGCCCCACCTGCTGATGCTGACTCTGCCGTTCGCTCCAAGTGGGCGACCCGCGATGCTGCTGCACGTCTTGCTGTGCGTCGCCACCTCCCTTCCTCTGAGCGTGCCCACTTTAGTCAGTGCAAGACCGCTCAGGCCTTGTACGACGCTGTAGTTGCACGCTACTCCTCCCCTTCCTCCGCTACCCTTAGCCGCCTCATGCTACCGTTTCTCTTCCCTGACCTCGCTTCCTTTCCCACTGTTGCTGACCTCGTTACCCACCTCCGTGCTAGTGACACCCGCTACCGCGCTGCCCTTCCTGCTGAGTTCCGCGCTGCGAACCCTCCTCCCATGTACATCACTCTCTACTTTCTCGTCACCCGTCTCCCTGAGTCCCTTCGTGTCGTTAGGGACCAGTTTCTCTCTGTCTGTCCCACCACTCTCACTGTCGACCTCCTTGAGGAGTCCCTGCTAGCGGCTGAGAAGAGTATTGTCGCTGTAGGGGCCTCTCGGGGTGACCCTCGCACCCCCATCTTTGAGGGGTGTGTTCCTTCCCCCCTGCTGCCCTCTGTCGCCTCTGCCGCTGCGGCCGACCTCACTGGTTTTGAGTCGGTCGGCGCGGCGTCTGCCCCCAGCGGCAGACGCCGCTCTGGCAAGGGCAAGGGGGGCAAGGGAGCGGGTGGAGCTAGAGGGGGCGGTGGAGGAGGCGGAGGGGGTGGCGGGGGGAGTGGGGGTGGCGGTGGGGGTGGTGGCGGGAGTGGAGGTACTGGTGGCGGCGGTGGAGGCGGAGGTGGCGGCGGCGGTGGTAGCGGAGGAGGCGGTGGGAGCGGTGGGAGCGACGGTCCTGGTGGGGGAGGTGGCGGTGGAGACGGGGGTGGCGGTGGAGGCGGGGGTGGCGGTGGAGGCGGGGGTCGGGGTGGCTCGTCCCAGCGGAGCAGCTCTGGGGGTGGTCAGCGCCAGCAGCAGCAGCAGCAGCAGCCGCAGCAGCAGCCACAGCAGCAGCAGCGCTCTCGCACCGTCCCCGCCCCTCAGCAGCTCCGTGAGTGGTACTTGCAGCGTCAGCGTGGTGGTGCGCTTGGTCCCTGCCCCTACGTTCTTCGCACCGGTGACCGTGCAGGGGAGAGGTGTGGAGGCGCCCACACAGCCCGCCGCTGCTTTGGCCGCCTGACCGACGCCTGGCGTCAGCAGTTTCCGGAGGCCGCTGAGATCCCCCGCTGGGGAGAGCTGTCTAGGGCTGGTGTAGCTATTTATGATCTTGATTTTGATGCTATTCTCGCTGCTATGTATGCTGTGACTGGTAGTGATGAGGATGACTGTTACCGGTGTTTCCCGCCCGACCCGGGCATTGGTACTGCCGCGTCAGGTACTAGTGAGGCTGCTGCTCTAGGTGCCAGTGCGTCTGTGCTCTCAGGTGCTGGTGAGTCTGCCCTCTCAGGTACGGTGTCGGCTTCGGTCTCTCACACCTTCACCCTTGACTCTGGAGCGTCTCGCTCCTTCTTTAGGGACCGCACCACTCTCACGCCGCTGAGTCGGCCGGTTGCGGTGTCCCTGGCTGACCCCTCTGGGGGGCCTGTCCTGTCTCGCTTCTCCACTGTCCTCCCGTGTCCGGCGGCCCCCTCTGGCACCCTGACTGGTCTTTACCTCCCCTCGTTCTCGACGAACTTGGTGAGTGGTGCTGACCTCCAGGATGCGGGTGTCCACCAGTTCACCCCTGCTCGTCAGCGGGTGACCCACTGCACGGAGGCGGATACAGGTCGCCACCTGGCTACGTTTACACGTCGGCCAGGGTCGAGCCTGTACACACTGACCACTGCTTCTCCTCCAGGTGCTAAGTCTGGTAGGGTTCCTTCGTCTGGTCAGGTGTTTGCTGCAGCGTCCAGGTCTGGTCCTGAGTCTGCCCCCTGCTCGTGTCGTCGTCTGTCTCACGAGACCCTCCTCTGGCACCACCGCCTTGGCCACCCCTCTCTGCTTCGGCTCCGAGGCATGGCCTCGCGAGTCCTTGTGTCTGGTCTTCCCCGGTCTCTCCCTCCCCTTCCTCCGAGCCCTGGCCCCACCTGTGTCCCCTGTGTCGAGGGGCGCCAGCGTGCTGCCCCTCACTCCTCCCAGTTTCCTCCGACAGAGGCCCCGTTGCAGACGCTTCACATGGACGTGTGGGGCCCAGCCCGCGTCCGTGGACAGGGTCAGGAGCGCTACTTCCTGCTGGTGGTTGACGACTACTCGCGTTACACCACAGTCTTCCCCTTGCGCAGCAAGGGTGAGGTCACTGAGGTGTTGATCGACTGGATCCGCGCAGCTCGTCTCCAGCTTCGGAGGAGCTTTGGCTCTGACTTCCCTGTTTTGCGTCTGCACTCGGATAGAGGCGGAGAGTTCTCCTCTGGCCTCCTGAGTGCCTACTGTCGTGCGCGAGGCATCCGTCAGACCTTCACGCTTCCGGACTCACCACAGCAGAATGGGATTGCTGAGCGCCGCATTGGCATGGTCATGGACGTCGCTCGTACGTCCATGATGCATGCGGCTGCTCCCCATTTTCTGTGGCCGTTTGCGGTCAGGTACGCTGCGCACCAGATCAACCTCCACCCCAGGGTCTCTCAACCGGAGACCTCCCCAGCCCTGTTGTGGACGGGGAAGGTTGGCGATGCGTCGGCGTTCCGGGTCTGGGGATCTCGGGCGTTTGTTCGCGACCTGTCTGCGGACAAGCTGTCCCCTCGTGCTTCTCCCTGCGTCTTCCTGGGGTTCCCCCCCGACGCCCCTGGGTGGCAGTTTTACCACCCCACCTCTCGACGTGTTCTGTCCTCCCAGGACGTCACGTTCGACGAGTCGGTACCCTACTACCGCCTCTTCCCCTACCGCACTCCGTCCCTCCCCCCACCCCCGCTCTTCTTGGTACCAGGTCCCCCCCCGGCAGTCCCCCCCCCCCCTCAGGGTCCTGCCCCTTCAGGTGTGTCCCAGGTAGACGCGGTCGAGCCTGTCGAGGTCACTGGTGACTCTGGTGCTGCTGCGGGAGCTGAGCCTGGGGGTGCGGAGTCTGGGGGTGCTGAGCCTGGAGGTGCCGAGTCTGGGGGTGCTGAGCCTGGGGGTGCTGAGCCTGGGGGTGCTGTGCCTGGGGGTGCTGAGCCTGGAGGTGCCGAGTCTGGGGGTGCTGTGCCTGGGGGTGCTGGGCCTGGAGGTGCTGCGCCTGGGGGTGCTGTGCCTGGGGTTGCTGAGCCTGGGGGTGCTGTGCCTGGGGGTGCTGTGTCTAGGGGTGCTGAGCCTGGAGGTGCTGTGCCTGGGGGTGCTTCGTCTCGCCGGGAGCCACTCTCCCCACAGGAGCTG